AGGCAGGTCGACCATTTGAAACCGCGAAGAAGAGAGTCCATCATACGTTCAAAAGTAACCGGGGCATTGCACAACCCAAAAGGCATGACCTTGATTGGTAAAGGCCGTCAGGTGTGATGAATGCTGTCTTCTCGCGGTCGCGGTCGTCGACCGAAATTTGCCAGTATCCGGATCGAAGGTCAAGGGTCGAGAAATAGTTGGCGCCGTGGAGGCAGTCGAGCGCATCATCGATTCGGGGTGAAGGATAAAGGTCCTTCTTGGTGATCCGATTCAGGTGGCGATAGTCGACGCAAAAGCGCCAGGTGTTGTCCTTCTTTTTAACTAAGACCACAGGGGAGGCCCAAGGACTCTATGAAGGCTCAATGACGTCTTTACTCAGCATTTTCTCGACCTCCGTCTGTATAACTTGGCACTCAGCATGTGACACGCGATAAGGGCGTTTGTGGAGTGGACTGGCGTCGCCGGTGTCGATGCGGTGGGTTACGGCACGTGTGCGGCCCAGGGGACGGTCGTCGACGTCAAAGATATCCAGGTAGGAAAACATAACGCCCCGGAGCGCCGCAATTTGGGAAGGTAAGAGGTCACTGGATATCATTTTGTCGAGGAACGCATTATTTTGCGACGTGGTGACAGGTTTCGCCATGGTCTTAGTGTCAGATGTAAAAGAACAAATCGAACATTCACCAAGGGTGGAAAGATCGGCTAAAGTGATGCATTGGGGAAGAACTTGGGTCGACGTAGAGAAGTTCTGAACTGGAAGTAGCACCGTGTTGTTAGCAACAACCACTATAGTGTGTGGTAGTGCGATGTGGTGCGTAAGGGTCAAGTCAATGAGGGGAGCTACCAGATAGTCTCCATCAGGAACGGACGGGAAGGGCGACAGAGGAACGTACATAGCAGCCTGGGGCGGTAGCCGTAGAGACTCCAGGGATCGTAGCCGAGTGCGACTTGGAGGAGTGAAATCGGAGCACAAAGGCAATTCGAGCCGTAAGATACCGGTAGAACAATCGATGAGGGCGGAGTGGGCGGTTAAGAAGTCAATTCCAAGGATGACGTCGTGTGGGCAAGCATCGAGGACTGCGAAGAAAACGGAAGTGTGGTGGCCAGCAACAGTAACGCGGGCAGTGCACATGCCAAGCACCGATGTTCGACTTCCGTTGGCAACTCGAACAGTAGAGAACATAGCTGGTGTGAGAACTTTTTTCAGGCGAGATCGAAGTGTAGAACTCATAACAGATACTTGGGCACCAGTGTCAATTAGAGCAGTAACGGCATGGCCATCAACGAACACCCGAAGTAAATTTCGTCTTGAATTTGTAGCCGGTTGAGGGTTTTCATTCCGAGTCGTCAACGCAGCGCCACCTCCAGGAGCTGCACTCGTCAGTTTCCCGGGGAATGGCCAGAATAAGCCGGTGACGGAGAGCGGCGGCGTTGAGGGGAGCGTCACGGCCAACCCTGAGGTGATGGTGAGCGGCTTGACCAGTTTCTTTGGGCGACGACGTCAGCGTAGGACGGTTCGGAGCGTGGAGATGAACGGCGAGCTGAAGGGTCCTGAATATGGTCATCCGAAAAACCGGGTTGCGAATAGTGTCCACGGTCCTGACGGCGGTCGACATTACGAAAGCTTGGCCGGAAATACCACCTGTTGCGACAATGGCGGGAGATGTGCCCAACTCGAGAGCAAGAAAAGCGGATGGGTCGATCATAATGCGTACGCCACTCAGATGGATTTCGGTAGCGTGGTGGAAACCGAGGAGTCGAAGCTGCCGCAGCGACAAGTGGAGCAGAGTGGTGGTCAGCGTTATGGACAGGAGTGCTCATGGGCTGCGGCTGGGGAACCTGGACGCCCAGGTTAGCAAACTCCTGGCGTACGACGGCTTGAATAAGCGAGACTGTTGCCCAGTTGTCTTGCACAGGGGGCTGATAGGAAGCGGGTGCCATGGCTTCCAGCTCCTGGCGAACAATCCTTGCGATATTGGCAGGAGGCGCAAGTGAACGGGGCGCTGCAGAATCCTCGCAAGACGAAGTCGCAGCAGTGTTTGGTAGTCTCGCGATGTGGTGGGTGATTCGCCTGCTTTTAGCTTGTTCAAATCGTCGGCATTCAGATATGATGAAGTCGACAGTGGTGCAGTTCTTGCACATTAGTATGTTGAAAGCATCATCAGTAATGCCTTTCAACACGTTGCTGATCTTGTCCGCCTCGGACATGTTTTTGTCAGTCTTCCGGCACAGTGCCAGTACGTCTTGGATGTACGTGACGTACGACTCCGTCGATGATTGAACACGCGACGCGAGGTCCTGCCTGGCTGCCATCTGACGAGCAACTGACCGACCGAACAAATCGCGAAGCTTTTGCTTGCATGTGTCCCAGCTGGTTAATTCTTCTTCATGCGTCTCATACCAGGCGCGTGCCGTACCCCGTAGGTAGAATAGAATATTTGCCAGCATAAGCGTTTCGTCCCACCTGTAGTGCTTGCTGACGCGCTCGAATAATGCGAGCCATTCTTCGACGTCCGTGTTGTCCGTCCCGGAAAACGTGCCAGGCTCTCGGTGAATAAATCTTCCCCGTAACATCTTTTGGTGGAAGGTGCGGGGTCTTCATACAACCCGGCTCTGGAACTCCGCAGTGGACGCCAGCTTTGTCCAGCCGCGATGCCTGAAACTGGCACTCAGGCCTCGCCATCCGCACCGGCTCCATCACCTGTGATTCCCCTTCATCTTCTCGACCCCGGCACCTCCACTAAAAGATGTTACGGGGAAGATTTATTCACCGAGAGATGGTCTTGCTAACGGCTTAAAGAGCGCACAGTCATGCAGGCCAACGGGAGAAGCTCGAGCGTCCAACCCACTACAACCACGTTGTCGTCTTCTTCATTTGGGTGCCAATTCACCCATTCAGCTGTGTCGGGGTGACAGTTCCATACACGTATCAATATTAAAGGGGTGCCTCTCCCGAAATCATGGTGGTGCCCCCCCCCCGAAGAAACGCCTGCCAGGTCCGCTATATTACACCGACCTGCCCCCCCCCCCCCCCCGCCCACCAAAATCCTTCTGACGCTCATGTCTCAGGGGCAAGGGCAAGAGTTATTTAAAGGCACCACCCGGTCTGGGAGGACATCATTTTTATTGTGATAACAATTATATTGTAAGCACAATAATCACAACATTTTACCTTGATCTTTTTCATCTGTTTATAATCATTATCACGAGGAACGTCGTCTTCGTTCGAAGCGTTGATCAGGCGATTCAGCCTCATAAACACAGTCGTGACCCCAACGCTGCTACAGTCTTGCAATATCGAGTCTCGGCTGGTTTTTGTCGTCGCCGCCTCCGTCATTCACGTGTATGTGTATGTATGTATATATATTCGGAAAGTATGCACTATAGCCTACTCTTTTTGCGGAGCAAACATCGCCTTTCCGGCCGGGGTCGTCTGCGCACGCGCTGGTCTCGCCAGAGAACGGGGGGTGGAGGGTGGGGTATGGTTGCCGCATAATCGCGGCAACTATCATCGCGCGCCTATAGTGCCCCTACAGCAGGCCGAAGCTTCTAGGGGCTGCGCTCTCAACACGAAAAAACTGTGCCAAAAGTCCACCTGGAGTGGCCGTGTTCTCATACGCCAGCGTTTTGTAGAGTTTCATGAAATCGGATATGAATGAGTTGACTGCAAGCCTCACTTCGTATATCAACGCCGTCACTACACGCGAGCCTTATCGCGGTCACCTACTGTGGCCGCGCCGCGAGAAACTTGGTTACTTAGCAAGCGCATGTTCATTACAAATAATATTGCTTCTAAAAATGCCAGCCCCGATTCGTAAAACATTCACATATGTTGCTATCGCATTCATTGCTTCGCCCTTTTGGCGAAACTGTGATTATTGTCTCCCTCCTCGCGACTCGACACCGTTGTCTGCTGAATGATTGACAGCGTTCATGATAGATGGAAAATTGTGAACTTATGGCACAACTCTGTGGAGTCCTCTTTGACAAAGCTGATACGGCTGTCGAGTTTTGGTAAATCTTAATCTAACGCAAGAAAATTTAAAGCACCCGTTGAACATTTTTGAAGATGTCGATAAATACCGTATTTGCACGACGGTGAGTATATACCCCTCCCACAACACTAAAAAAGAAACGGTGGAAAAAAAAAAACGACTCTAACTATACCGTATAGGTGCTGACTCCATAGTTGGAGCCAATGTCCGTCTTGTCACGCGATTCCTCGTGTTGACCTCGCAAAAAGTAGCGCTGGAATATCTGAGCAATGTACTACCAAGTAACACCAAAACGTGTTTTGTAAATTAAAAAAAAAACGCGAAGGAGGCTTCGCCACAGTGCTTGACATGCAAGCAGGAAAGCTAGCTTTGCGTTCGTTTTCGAGTAGCTTTTGACACACGTGACATTCATCATTTTGCAACTCGCAGCATTTCTAGCGATAAACAAATGGCGGAATAAAGCTGCACTAATCATATGACGGTTAATATTGAATCAAATAAAAGTATCTAGCCGGTAAACACTGTACTCGAAAGTGCACTATATTTACTGAAGGAGAACAAGTCTAGAGGGCATTGTGCTGCCCTGTGCAGTTGAGTTACCATATATGCTAACTTAGAGTAACTCTAGACGGCCTGGTGTCTCTCTTATGAGGCCTATTGGACGTCTCTTTACGCAACAGTTTTCAAGCATTCGTAAATGCAATAAACGATGCGAGATCAGCAACAAGTACAGATGCTACTATATAGGTTTATTAGCATCAGTAAACTTGGAGCCAGTGAAAGGTAAGCTACGCTAACTTTGCTTCCCCTCTCCTCACCAGCTCTTCAGAAAGCACTCAACCTGTATAAACATGCAGAAGCAAGTACACATGATAAAAAATGTATTAAATATATCACTTGTTGCAAAGCTCTCAGCCCTGACTGAGAGAGAACCGGAGCATTCATAATTGCACGTCGCACAAACAATTGCACTGTTTTCTGAAGACAAGCCATAGAGACTAGCAATAAGACGAGATAGAAGCAGGTTTATTCATTGACAACGACAGTTGCAGCTCTCGGGACATGTCAATGCGAATTTGTTCAGGTGTTTTTCATATTTAAGTCTGAGATTGTTTCACGGTCTAAAAGAAGAAACATGGAGAAAGTGAAGAAGACACCTGAACGAACATGGTAAGGAAGCGTCACATGATAACGGATGAAGAAGGCACCACAGGACATGCAAAAAGCAGCTCGCTGAAGTGACACTTCCGCAAAAAAAAAGTAGAATGCACATGACTAGTCTTTATGTAGCTTTCGACCTTGAAGGATGATGTACAATTTCCACAAAGGGTGATTGTAAGGCACGACTCGTTTTCAACATGATTCGGCGAAGTTGGACTTGGCATCAAAATAGACCAGGTAGTCACATGGTAGATACACTGAGGTTTAACGCTCACCACAGCGTCGGAAAAGGGAACTGAAAGGCCTGAGGAGCTTGGCAGCGTAAACGGCACAAGTTCGACGGATGAACATATGGAAGGATGGAGAAGCAGCTGGATTTCCAGCTGTAGCTAAATCTCTGCTTGAAAGACTGTCTAGCAGCTACACTCAGGCCTCATTATCACAAAATTGCACTTTAAACCAAAATAAGTTCGTTATAAAGAATATTCCTTGCACTCCACCTACTTCAAGACTATTTTTCATTTACTGCGTTATAACCGATAGCTCGTTATATCAAGCTCCGAGTGTATGCTGCTGGCAGTCGGCAAACACCTGCCAAATGTCTTGGCCAGTCAACTCAGATGTGTTTAGATGAAATGCAAATGGGGGCAATGAGTAAGTGAACACAATCACTAAGATGAAATAAAAATGAAAGAGTCCATCAGCAAACAGCCAAATTGTCACTTATCTCAAGGGATATCAATATTAAGTTGCTCTATTGTCTCTTCTCATTAGCTTGAATAAGCATAATATAATGAGATCGATGAAAGAAAGACAGAAGCACTGGCCAAGACCTATAGTTGCTCATCTTGCACTGACATGACATCTTGTTGATTGATATTACTGAACATTCTATGTCAATCGTTAATTATGTGAAAAGAAGCACTTGGCCAGACAGCCCTCCAAAAACACCTCCCTCTGGCATCACAAACCCTGAGATATCACGCTTTGGGGTGAAATGCGTCAGATTCGCATTGCTTTTCAGAAGCATCTCGAGTTCCCATAAACCTACGTTCCTACTCTTCCCCTGAGTACCGTAAACAAACACGCCGGTCTCTGGACTCTCGGCTAGAAGGGTGAATTTTAGTAACTCTTCTTCAGGGATGTCCTTAGAGATGTGGAAAACGCTCGGGCACTTCGAGTCCACTTCTGAAACATTCGCCAGCAAACCTTCGATACAAGGTGACTTTTGTAGAACCAAGCAGATTCCTGAAATGGGTAAGAAAAAAAAGCGTCAAGGCACTACAAGGTGCTTGAAGCTGAAGTTTGCAGCTATTTCTTGAAGAATTTCTAGCATCTGATGTAAAGTGAGGTTGCAAAGCCCAGTTGCTACAAGGCAAAAGTAGTAGAAAATGGAAAGTGAACTAATATATTGATAAGAAATTAATGAAATGGTGTGCTTGCTTCCTTCCCACAGCAAATTAGCAACAGCACAAAAGACACAGGTACAGACACAAAAAGCAAGCACAGAAACAGCAAAGACCAATAGACAGTGTAGGCCAAGGGTATAGGGGTCAATACGTGTTCTAACATCAGTAAATTGATATTTACTTAAATTGAAGCAATTTAACATGGACAAACAATCACCCTTTCCATCAATGGCATAAAAGTACTTTAAAACAACAAGTCCGATGTTCTACCTAATGAGCTACAGTGGAGGGCACTCCCTCACCTACTTTTGTCGGGTATTTTTGTATGCTTAATCCCTGGTAGAATTGGCCAGCGTCACACTTAGCCAAGGCAGAGAGTATGGAATTCTTTTGGACAGAGGGCGTCGCATGGTTAGTAATTTTCGTACGAAGTGGCAGCTCACCGATAAATCCTTGAATGCTACATAAGGCATCAAATCAGCTGGGACAAAGCCCTCACAATGAAAATTGATGGTAACGCCGACTAAGGACACTGGCAAAAAAAGGCACATTCAAGACACCACAGCACTGCGATGTCTCGAACGTGCACAAAGTTAACCCATCTATCCTGCTAAACTCACTGAGTTCTATTACATCCCATTTAACACCCTCTAGCTCCTGAAGTAGAACAGCTAGACTGGCCTCACTAGATAAGGTTTTAGCGTTAAACCTTGCCAAGTTCCGGTTACAATAGCGGCCTGTTCAGACCCAGAGATTCTTAGTGCCCTCTGCTACGTTGCAAATCTTAACGCCGCCATAGTGAGTTGCTTTGCAGCCGCTGAGTACTGAGGGACGTGTGTTAATTGACATATGCATGTGTGAGGTAGTGGCTAGATTCTGCTCCAGGATGGCCAATCCTTCTCTGGTGAGGGAGTGCGTTACGGTGAGGCGGCACCCCTGGCCTCTTCCTGCCATATTATCATGATGCCAATTTTTTTTAATCCGGAGAAAATCGCATGGCACAGAGATTCAAACCACGGACCTCTTGCATGCCAGACAGATACTCTAACCCCAACGCCATCGCTGCACGCAAATATCCTTTATAACGAAGTAAAATAAAAATAGTCTTGTAATATATACAGTGTTAAGAATAACCTATAACCAACTTATTTCCTTGTAAAATGCAACTTTGCTTTAATGGGGCTTCAGTGCGTACCAAACTATACAAGGCTATGCTATGCTCTGCTAGCGTGCTGTATAACTGAGTGGTTAGAACCATAGTCTTCAGGATCGTGGGTATGAGAATTCCGATTTGCCTCACCACGAAATTTTTTTGCAAGGATTTTCTCTTTCTCTCTGTACTCATTCTCTCCATCCAGAGTTATTCTGTACTCACTCTCTCCTCCAGAATTATTCCATGCCATGGCGGACAAATCTGTGCACACGCTCTCGGAGCGAATCAAAAAAGGAGGAGAGGACGAAAAGAGTGCATGTTCACGATGACAATACTCTCTGTGTTTGCAACTAACAAGACCTTCACAAACTTCAACAGCTCCACTGTTAAAAATGAGCAATGACCCATACGCTCACCTTGGCCTGATTGTTTGTTGGTTTTGTTAGTTGAGTCTAACAAAGAAACAAATCCCCCGAATTGTTCCCCTTCCTTTGTTTACTAAGCAAGCACAGGAAGGCAGGAGATGACGTTAACTAGAAATTTAAGTCTCGTCTTTGGTGAAGTATGTAGGCTGTGCTGCCTGTGATGTAGAGTGAACTAGAGATTTTTCAAAAGATTTTATGTGGTATGCCAAAGCTCCAATGCCATTGGAACAGAAAATTTACGTGATCACCACGCAACAAGCTGGAATGGTAGGCATGTTGCAAGTGTACTACATAACTAAATGACACATACAGATGCGCACAGTGAAAGTGCAGGATAGTTTGTACACTTCTGGAAACGGTGCTAGATTGATTAATTCATAATGCCTCAGAGGTTTTAACAAGACATCAAAGGAATATGTGCACACAGAAAAATGCCATGTCAGATTAGGGGACATGACTTGAAAGACTCATTGGCAGCTTCGAGACAAGAAATGTTGATAAGGAATGCATTTGTAACGAAAATCTATGAGGTGTTACAGCTAGCACATTAAGTAAATAGATGCACGCATGATGGTCGAAGAATCGCTATTAGCTAAAGGAAAGATGAAACGTGTCGCTTGCATGTTCGAGCATCACATCAAACGAACCCTTAATCGCATTACTTCCTTGCAGCACAAACAAACATTTGATTATGTTGAACAAAAAACTAATTAAAGAGATACAAAATAAGCTAATTACCATGAAGGACAGCCCAATGAGCTGAATGTCCATTCTTCAGGCAAGGTTCAAAATTTCCATCAGAATCATACCTATAACCTTCAGTTAAGAACCACATATGTCTAGGACACCACTGACATCACACAAATCTTTGTTTTCCTTTTAGAGGTGTGTTCGTTGAACGCAAAAGTGACGTCAAAGATTTTGTTATATTTTGCAGTAATGTTCATGAAGCAAGTCCTGGCATTTTAAAACTAGCTTCAACATGGTGTTATATTATTTTCAACATAATTCAGTTCAATTCAGCTTTTATTTTTCTTACAAGAAAGCATTTTCCACAGTTTCTATTTTTTGTAGTATCCCTCTATATACAGGAATCATGTGGCATGGCTTTAACAACTTTCAAAAACATGAACCAGCAGTCCTTTGAGCTCAGCAACCAGGATGGAGCGTTGTAACTCGGCAACTGGGATGGAGCGTAGTAAAAGCACAATGATGACCTAATTGAGCTGTAAAGTAAAAAAAAATAATAATTTCAGGTAAAAGCTTCTTTTTGTGAGTGTGGAAACTCGTCTATTTACACTTATTTTACAATGCAGATTATGCATGCGCGAATGGAGGCACAAATGTAAAGGATACGGTATTAACACCGGCTTCCTATCCAACAAACTTCTGATGATACCTTCTCGACGCTCACTGCGCAAAATTTTAGCGCGAGGCCCTCGTAGACACACCTCGGCTAGAGTCTTCATGTTTTCAACTGCAACGAACACATGGGAAATGCAGGTGTAGATAGGAAACACGTGACAACAAACTTCCTAAACTGTGCACACAGTCATTGCCTTAAGACATTCCTGCATTTGCAAGTGAGATAGGCATGCGATGTTTGTTTTATAAGCTGGCACTTTGGGTCGAAATCGACAGAAATTAGTTTGACCAATTGCATAATGCACACGACCTGAAATCATGACTTTATATGGTTAAGAACATTGGGCCTCAAGAGTAGGCAAGTACAACCAGAACAGACACAGGATTAGATCAATGTTATTAGCTTCCAAAATTACTAGGCCAAGCATAGATCATGGACTTATACAGATGTCATTGAAATACAGAATGGCTTATATAGATGCAACGTTTCTACGTGGACTATGTCTTACAGCCCAACAAGCTCGGTTAGGTAAAGCAATACATTCATCATTCACTGTAAAACACTAGACAAGGATGTAGACGAGACTGAAACAACTCTTTGTCATCCTTGCATATGGTTGCACAGTGAACGATGAATCAGTACCAGCTCGTGCAACTGTCAGTCGTTTTGAAAGAAATGTATTTCCACTTCAGTTAGGCATTACCTTAACATGTTAGTACGGTTACAATGAGGATAGCTGATAAGATGAAAGCATACGCGCTTAGCATTGCTAAGGGAATATTAAAAGGCTAGACGCTGTTTTACATTTGGTGTATACAGGGATGCGGTTAATGTCTGAATCTTCCGAGTTCAACAACCTGAAAACATTTCTCCTTTCTTGGTGAACTGAAGCGACTTGGCCACCTCGAAAAGCGCCTCAACACTCACTGGATCATCCTGGAGCAGTTGTGAGGCCATGCTAAGTGCCACGAGGCCGCATCTGGAAAAAAAAAAAGTACAATGATTATGTTACACGCGGTAAAGCGGGTTACACCACAGTGTAGAACTGGCTCGAGTGTGTCAAATGGAATCTTGCGCATGTTTCAACAGCTACAAAAGAAATCACGCATGCAAAACTACATGAGACCAGAATGTTTTGTTGTTCACAAACATCTCTCGGCTCTTGCTTCAGATGTCGGATTAACGCTATGTGAGAGCCAGGATCAATCTCAAAAACAGTTCATGTACACCCCTTGCTGTTCACAAGTCATGCCACGAGGTACTCACCCTTCTTGTCACTCTTTGAACAAACTATCCAACCGACAAAAGTCTGAGAAATACACGTTTCGCGACACGTACGCGCAGGAGTAGTTAACGTAGCCGTTTTGCCCGCGATTTAACGCTCCCGACCAGAAGAAACGGATTACGCCGTCCACTTACTGAGGTCCGTCTTGAAGAACGGGCCTCAACAGCGAAACCCTGGACACAACGAAAGCTTCTCCGGAGCCAGCTATTATGCGATGGAGTTGCCGTTCAAACGCTTTTTCGAAGCTTGTTGGTGGTTCGTCATCATGGGTTTTCACCTCACTGCTTTGCCTGTAAACTGATACTGAAGGCGGTGGAGGAGGTGGCACAGGTGTTTTGGATGTTTCCATGTCAGTGGCAGTCCAGTTATAACAAGATAATCGCAGTAATCACGCCAGACTCACTTGCACATGAGGCAGCAAGCTAAAAGTTCAGTTTCGGTTTTTCAATAGATGTGTTTATGGCGATGGCAATTCTAGGATATTAAGAGTTTATCAACCTACTACTAGACGCATTACGAAAGTGTACAATGCATCGTAATGCAACACAACGTATTATACGCAAGCATCGTATAAAACAAAATTTTTGAATAGAAATAGTTAGACTCTAAGCGTAATTTTTCCCCCCCATATTTGAGGACGAGTTTTTTTGAAAACCGTACCTCTGCAAGCCAAGTCAGCGCCTTGCCGCGTAAACACAAACCGTCAAATACCGTCAACTTGTGTGTTCCCGGTTCCAACGTGCTGTTGAAGCGAGCGCACCTTTACTGCAAAACGTCGCAAAAAAAAAAAAAAATGGATTGTTAAAGAATCCCTGACGCTGTGAGGCAACCTGGCAACGTTCTCCTTCGCCAGTACAAGCGATCCCCGGCTGTCCCTCTCGCTACAGTGAGATCAGCAGGATGGCGAAAGCTGCAACGACGGTGACTAAACTGCGACGCATCAAAAGGAAGGATCCAGATCCTAATCCCCTCTTCACGAAATGGCTTCAGGAATGGAAGGAGGCCGCCGTCGCCAGCAACAGCAAACTCCAGCACGTCTACGGCAAGGTAGTGTGTGGCTTGTTATGACTTCGGTGTTTCAAGAGATACTCGTACGATGTGCCATCAAACGTTATTTTTGTGCGTTGTTCTCCGCAGTTGTCAGTCTTTACGCAACCAAGCCCGCTTGATCGATCTCTTGGAGGTGCCGCTTCAACAGGGCACTGTGTTCATGATCACGAGCCGACCCTGCAGACAGTATCGCAGCGAATTTATTCTAAATTCAACGCGTCTCTCATAATCATATGGTGGTTTTGGGACGTTAAACCCCACATATCAATTCTAAATTCAAACCGATGCCACCCCAACCTCCCCCTTGTCTGCCAGTATTTCTTTTTTTTAAATTCTTCCAGCTACTATGCAGCAGTCTGCATAGTACCCAGTTATTTCTTTTTTCGTTCGTCTTCCAGAATTTGCCTATATTATTTCTAAGAAAGAAAAGCATGCATTGCACAGAGTTACTTGCAGATTGCTTACTGTTTATCCATCAAGGAATTGTGTGTGAAAAAAAAAATCATTTCGCTCTGCGTGCAGGCATTAAAGTCGCTCAGCAAATACCCCCTGGTACTGAAGACCGGCAAAGAGGCAAAGATATTAGAGTACTTTGGTAAGTGGTGTGCTTAGCATATAACTTCTCTTTTGTGGTGTAAGTACTGAGAGACACTCTTTGTTTCTTATCCAAGCACCTTCGGTGGAGCAATTGCTTTCAGTTCAACAAATATTCAGACAAAGTTTTCCAAAAAAAAAAAGGAATAAAGAGACAGTTGGTTTAAGTTGGTGGTAATACTGGATAGATTTCATATTGTAGCATAAATTAAAGGGCAGTTAACTATGTATAAATCACAAAAGTCAATTCATTGAGTTAATTGAATAATTGTGAGCAGCTGGGATGGTTGTGGCTCCTGGCAAAGTTGATCTCAACCACGTGCCTCTTCCTATGTGGCGTCCAAGATCCTGTTCGCCAGTGCAACGGAACACAAAGTTAACCCATGAAATACACCAGGAAGTGCAAACATAAACTTGCGAATACCGCCACCTGACACCTGAGTTGGGAATTATGGTCGCTTCCAAATTTTTAAAACAGTTCAGCAGTTGCTGCAACAACCAACTGGTGGGTTGCCGGTCATGGCATCTAACGCTGGGTTGTGGTATCTAACATAAAAAAATTTCGTCTTAATATTTGTAACCTCTTGCAGCAAGACCTCTGTGTTCATATTTGATGAAGTTATCGCATCAGTCAGGAGATGCGTGATAGTAACATCGCAGTCACATAGGAAGAGCACAGCCTGTGACAGTGACCCATGTCTTTAATACGTTCACTGCAGCATGGGTCGCTGGTGGGTCACATTCTGTGACCCACTGGTGACCCACGCTACAGTGAACGTGTTAAGGGACTGCCCTGTGGTCATTTCATGTCTCACCTTGGCATCATGCATGTCCCACATTTGATACACATAAGCAGCACATTTAGAACATCAGTGCATGCTTACCCATGAGCGGCAGCATCACAGAAAAGCTTATAACTAACAGGGAAAGACCAGCGTTGGGAGTTGGACACAGTCTCGCATATTATGTTGCCATCGTGCAGGTCCCATGGTTGATACTTATAAGCTGAGCAGTCTGCACGTTTAGAACTCTAGCCCCAGAAAAGAGCAGAATAAACACAAAGGAAACACAGGCGGATCAATGCTCCCTAGTTCATACAGATATCATTTGAGATGGAACTGGTTTACATATTATACGCCCTGTTTTTGTTTCTGCCGTGCCAAGCTTGCGGCATTAGGTTCAACCGAAAGCAACCTTGTCTACTGATTCCACCACAGGCGACAAGCTGTGCAACATGCTCGACAAAAAGCTGGAAGAGCATCGACGAGATAACCCAGACTGGTGCTCGTCCTCCAACTTCGCGGCGCCGACTGTGTTGGACTCAACAGACGAGGACGAATCACAAGCGTCGGCTAGTCAGGACGATGCAACAACCTCCAGCGGTGGTGGACGGGCCCCCGCAAGCAAAGCAAAACGAAAGATAGCAGACGACGCGGGTCCGATTGCCAAGAAGAGGGGGCCACGGAAGTACATTCCTCTTCCGCGGAGTGGAGCACATGCATTGCTCACAGTTTTGGGTCAGAGGAGACTGCAGCTCAAGGTGAAATTCACGCTTCATGCTTGATCGACCAATTGTTTTTGTACATTACCGTTACGAATCAGCCATTCTTTGGTATGGCACAGGTGTATTGCATGCAGCAACAAGCACAGTCACATGCAGTAAAAGTGCAAGTGACTGCACTGGCATAGGCCTGCGTAATATGCACTCAAACCTCATCATAACAAAGTTTCATCTTATATGACGATAAGTTTGTCATATCTGTCAATTCATTATGAAGGTATTCCTAACACTATATCTATTGCAAGACTACTTTTAATTTACTTTGTTATAACTTGTTTGGTTATATATTTGTGTTCGTTACATCGAGGTGTGAGTGTAACTTTAAATCATATGAACATGGCCACTGTGCCTTTATGTTTTTAACTATAACTATCTTAAGATGACTAGGCACGTTATGTTTCAATAGCCATTGAAGGTCTTGAAATATGCTGGAGACTGCATTCAACTGAGACCTTGTCACTAAGCACCCGTTTCGAAGCTGCACTAGCCGTATTTTACACTTGACACACTGTGAACCATCAAATGACAACTGTCATTTTCTGGGATATCAAGAATTCATATTTACTGTGGAACCTGAATCTCATTTCTGTTTATTGTGAATTATACTTAGTTTTTCTCACCTGAAAGCTTTTATTAGAACCTTTTCGTAATCTGCAAGTGTGCTTCCCTGTGCATCACATTTGCTGCTGCACATTTGCCTAGCTAATGCTGGCACCTGTGGTACTTCAAGATTAGAATACCTTGTAGTTGCACATCCATAGGTTGGTTTATTATGCGTGTTTATATCAAGATATCTGAGTCTGCATATTCTTTGTTATAGCATAAGCAGGTTGCAATTATAAAAAGGGTCTATTGTAGTTAGTCGTTCTAAAGTTGTCTGGATATCTACATGTAACTATTTGAGACATGTAGAAAGTGCCGTCTCCAGCCTGTATTAGCAACGAGTTTCTAGACCACTTTCTATACGGTACGTTTGGCTGTTCTCTTTTCGATCGTTCTGTCATAATCATTGATAAAAGTCGCATCATGTTGAGAGACACGCTTGCTTCACACAGGCCACCTGGGTGGGTGCTAGCAGTCACGACTGGATGAGCAAATCGGATCTCATTGTCGCAGCGCAGCCTCTCTGCGATGCATCCTTCACACAGGTGAGTGCACTTACAGGCAAGTTGTGGAAGTCATTGTCTGCAGGAATTGCATATGGAAGATTGTTAAAGGGCCCCTAAACCACATTCGATATTCGTTTAATGTTTCAAGTGAAAATGAACATCGAGTGCAGGATGCCGTTTCTATTAACACTACCAAACGCGTCAGTGTCGCAAGGTGTTAGTGCTCCGTGAAATCTTTGCAAGACCATTCCGCACTCCTCTTCGGCCTTTCGGTACCCTCAGCGTTGGTCGTGATATCACCGTGTACATCTATCTTGTAAGCAGCCGAGAGAACCTGTTTATGTGCTTGCAGGTGCACATGCTCCCTGCTTTTCCTCCTATCACAGCGCGGAGGAGCGCTTGGCCAAAAGGAGAGACGAGCTTATGGACATATAGTAGCAGCAAAGGAAAAAGTAAAATAAGCGAGGGCTACAGTTCAATCGTCAAACAGGTGTAACTGCACTGTTACAGCACTGTGTCAAAACATCCAGATGGTTACGCGCTCGTTGCAGGCTTGCACACAACTGCAACACCACAACTATCTTGGCCACTGGTTGGTTTAAGGGTACTTTAAAGGTCCAGTGAACAACCCCAAGGTCGAAAAGTTGTAAATGGAAATGTGTGCACTTTTGCTTTGTAAACATGCTGCCGCAAGACTTTTGCGAATGTGTGCTATATTAAGGAAGTTTGAGGGGTAAGAACATCGGTTTCAACTGGTTCGAAAAATTCGCGCGGCCTCGCCACCTTTCTCTCTTAGAGGGAGGGGAAGGCACAGAGCCTGTTGCCGTGACTGGTTTAGACCAATCGACGAGTTGCATGCTACATGAAGTCACCGATCGGTGACTTTGCGTCACTGCGCGTGAAAGGAGGATTGGTCAGGCGTAGGAAAGGAGCGCGGGAATCTTTTTCGGAAATGGAGGCTCTGTGCTGGGAGGCGCAGGGCTGTTATATTCGAAAAACCTGGTCGTCGCAGTCTACTATGTCGATTGCCGAGCTTCTTTGGGGGTGTAAAAAAAGGTTGGAGCCTGTTGATTGGCCATTTAACAAACGATACATCAGGTGACTCGTTGAGCCAGTTTTGCATTGCCATGCCCACCTGCTATGGTGCCTAGAGTAGAGAGGGAACGCAGTAACGTGCGTGTGTCATGCCAATCCGAGCATCGACCGTAAGTACTGTGGACTCTTAGTGAACGAAAATCTCTTGACTGGAGTTGCTATTTATGGAACAGCTTGCAGTACGATTGGTATCCTTCCTGAATACTGCAACCCTGTTCATCTCTCAGTAAATATAACTATTGTTAAACAGAACATACATTCTTTGTCAATTAAGGTTCTGTTCTATGGGAGTCTACTGTAAATGCATTCTACAAAAACACTGAGTTGTGGGGTGAAGGTGCATGTCATTGTTTAACATTGTATTCCAAAGGCTGATTCGGAGCTCATTTTTCTGCTTGACTGGAGCAAGTTTGTTCCAATGACAGAATGAGCTATAAATTTGCTTTAGCAACAAGTTCTTGGACATTGTCATTTGGTTGTTCTTGTGATTACAATATTGCAAGTATTTTATTTATTCGAATATACACATACAAGTTTGTCAGAACTACCTGTGCCATTTGATTTGTCCTTCAGTTCAAATTAGTTAGAGATTTGGATACATCAAGATTTTAGTAATAACGTTTTGTTCAACTTCTGCTCATTTGACAAGCAGTCTCTGCCTTGTAGCCCATTCCAGATACTTACCACACAGCTTGGAGCAGCATGGCAACTTTGATCAAGAAAGGGCTTGTAACGAAGCAAGGTTGCCCGGCCAGGTGAGGCTGCTGCTGCACATCTCCAGAAGTGAAGTCGAATGATCATATGATGAAACTGAGTAACTCAAATCTTGATATAACGAATTCAGATATAACGAAGTAAGTGACCAATGGATTTTCCATAGATATGGTGATCCAAATAATCATTTATAACGAATTTTTGGTTATAATGAAGTATTTTCTAGCAAATGTGACTTTGTTATAATGAGGTTTGAGTGTACTACATCTAACAAAGGGGCCTTTTCTGGGTAGGTAGCCTGCGCATGTGCGCCAGCTTTAAGGAGGCACGTGCCGTGATTTTCGGCGGCTAAAAGGTGACAGGTGCAGGCCAAGCGACATCTGGTGCCAGAAGCGTGCAAAGTGTTTCCCCCAAAAAAGAGGTGCAAATGCAGGCCTCCAAGATTGCCTACCTGCATGGGGTGGATACGTAATTTCAGAGTCCAAGGGCCACCACTTTCGATTTTGGCAATCTCCACTCGAGGTGCTGTTCAGACTAAGAAAAGGCACATTAAGTATAACGTATTCTTCATGAAATACTACAGCACTGCACAAATACATACATGTAACAAATGTTAAAGATAATACATTGGGGATTTTTTTCTGTTTGAACGCAGTTTTCTTGTACAAGGTGCATACTACTTCAGAATGCTAATCCAGCTTTCTGGGCTTTCTCATTTTTGCAGTCTTTTTTTCTTGTGGAAGATTAAATAACACGCAGGGTGTACCTCACCAAATGCACCAGATATTGTGCTGAACCGTGTCTGATATTATCCTAGAGGTTCTTGTTTGTATCACTGTGTAGTGTCATGTGTTATATGCCATGGAAAAAAAGAACTGAACTTCTTATGTCTCTTATCATGACTCGTGCAGCAAGGATCCTAGTCGGGCTCCATAACTATGGATCTGCTTTCACAAAACTTGTACAATCGAATGGCCTGTAGTTATTACGTAAGGATGTGTAAAGTTTCGACTAAAATGGCACCCAGAATTGAACTTTACTGAGCGAGCACATCACCCTGTGTGCTTTTTCAGCCATGGCATATCTATAGTTATGATGCTCTGATACAATCGAATGGCCTGTAGGTATTGTGTAAGGATGTGAAAGGGTGCGACTACATCGGGACCTGGACTAGAATTGAACCTCACCAGACAAGCGCATTGCCCTTTGTGCTTCCTTTTTCATGTACTGTCCGCCATGGTGGATCAATGGTTATGGTGCTCTGCAGCTCACCCGAAGGTCACGGTTCCGATCGCAGCCGGGGCAGTCACATTTCGTTGGAGGCGAAGCTGTAGAAACCCATGTGCTGTGCGATGCCAGGGTAGGTTAGAGAGCATCAGATGGTCAAAACTTCCCGAACCCTCATATCGTGGTTTTGGCGCATAAAACTTGTGATATTATTTCAGTTCATCTCCCTTTATAAGAGGCTTAGACCAGGGAGCAGTTCTTGTTCTTTATATAAGGTGTCTCCCATAAGCAGGATATCACATCCTGATTTTCAGTTCAGCACCTATTTCAGTGCAGACCCTGGTGTCTCTTATACTCCAAGTGCCTTTACATCAGTTCCCCGCCGCGGTGGTCTAGTGGCTAAAGTACTCGGCTTCTGACCCGCAGATCACGGGATCGAATCCTGGTAGTGGCGGCTGCATTTTCGATGGAGGCGAAAATGCTGTAGGCCTACATTGAAGAACCCCAGGTGGTCGAAATTTTCGGAGCCCTCCACTACGGCGTCTCTCATAATCATGTGGCGGCTTTGGGACGTTAAACCCCACATAGTAACAACAACTCTTACATCAGTGTCTCTGATGAAGGTGCTTGACGATATTTGATGTGCCATTTTAGTCGGGCCTTCTCACATCATAAAACGAAATCAACTCGGCCAACTTTTTATTGCTACTGCGTCTCTCGTAGCACAGGTGGCTTCAGAATGTTCAAACCATTAAACCAGCCAACCAGTGTATAACATAACATCAGTGTTAAAAGCACCTCTCTGCTGCTCATTAGTGTCATGCGGCGTAGCGTACAAGTAAAAGCAGGTGAAAACGTTATGCAGTGAAGCATGCCACTTGGCACATGTATGTATAGTATCAAATCACCCTACGTTGAAATCGTTTCGTGACCCCCTCCACACTCGATGTGTACATTCTTTGTTGATGCAGTGCACGGGAGACGAGTAGGAAGAAAAATAACAACAGGACTGGTGCCGATTTGCAACTAGTAAATTTTATTAGAAAAGAAATGAACATACATATAGGTGATGTATATCAATAACCGAAATGCCGCGAGCAAGAAGATACAGGTAAACTCACCTGTACATAACCTATATCACCGGGCATCACCTATATATGCCTGTTTTTTCCCAATAAAATTAAGCTTCGAGGCAGCACGTGTCCTGTGCTTCTATTTCTTCATCCTCGTCCCATGTGCGCTACATCAACCGAAAATGAATGCCTACAAACTAGCTCAAGTTTCTATTCTATGTGTACCTTTTTAAAGACCTTCAACGCAAAAATTTTGGTTTGTCTGTCTGTCTATACATTTGCCTGTTTGTCCACTTCTAATGGCATCAGGTACTTGAAAGGGGTGACCCCATCCGCAGCGCCCACCAATGTTGCTCAAGATTTATCGTTCATACTTGTGCATTTGTCAATTAAAAAGCAATCATTGCGCATGTCTGGGGCGCCATAACAACACGTATATATTCTGCATGTGCGTCTTTTACTAGAAAAGGCATACATAAGTAATTTTAAGGACCGTAGCACTTATCACGCTGCACTGACCATGCAACGCTTGCACGAAAAGGCGAGTGTTTCCAACGCTTTGCTAAGACGAGACGGTGGTGGCACCTACCCATCGCCTTGCGTTCTACACCTTATCACCTCTGAGATGGGCGCGCACACCCGTCTCAAAGCCACGCTCTTCGTTTTCCAAAAGAACTGCCAGATGGCGCTCATGTCTCACGTGTGACGTGACTTGATGCGCTCGTTCGCATCTGCAGCACGCTCGAGGCACTCTAACGCAGCGCCTCCAGAATACCATTCACCGATTTTCTTACGCAGAACATGAAATAAATGTTTTGTTCACTCTCTTCACACGCAAGACTATAGTCTTTTGATGAAATTTGCTGATTAACATGCAGATACGGGGCCAATTTTGTAAACAGTTTATTACTTGATTCTTTTTGCAGGTTCAGCTTAACAGACGATGGTGAGGAGCTGGCCTGCCGGCTGATATCGCCGGGAACGCCGCCCGAATCGGCCGTCTCGCAGGTCCCAAACGGCGAGGGCATCTTCACGTCATCTCTGTCAGATGAAGATGCATCAAACGGGTTTCCAGTCGTGACGTTACCGCCCCCTCCCCCACTGGATTCCCTGCGCATCGTGCTGCTCGTCGACTGCAGTGAAACCACTGCTGCGTAAGAAAGGCAGTCTCTAGTATTTCATCTCGGCATTGACTGTTCAGTTGCACTCAATGCAAACGGCAACACAGTGGCCATGGTTTAAGGGTACTAGAAAAGGCGCAATTAATTTTAGAAATCTAGTCAACTCTCAGTAGAGGAAAGTCTCTCATTAAACGGAACTGTTGCTTAAGGGGAGACGCGGGTTGAAAAGTCTCAGTTTTCTTTTAAAAAAATCACTTTTTTGGTTTAATTTGTATTGTCATCTTTGGTATATGAACCTTTATTTCTGTAAATATCAGGCCGCAGTTCGCATGAGAAGTCACCCAAAAGTGCGCCTAAGTGAGCGGCGGTGACACCAGAATTCAGCAAATGTCGCAAAAGTTTGCGCCGTTTGCATTGCTGCGACGCGGTCTGTATGCCAACTACCCTTTGCGTCATTACACATTGTGTATCATCAATATCTTCTGCACGGTTTTCTATGATTATTATTATAAAAGGGGCCCTGCAAAACTTCTTCAAGTAGCCATGAAATGGTTTGGCTAAAGGAGCTTAATGCCTTACGAATTCCCCGCCGTGAAAGTTTTAAAATCCATCCATTATGAGCGGAGTTACAAAGACTTGTCACATGCTGCAATTGCGATCTTTTTTCTCTCATCTGATGAAAGTGCTGGAAGCTAAGTAGGAAGTGATGAAAAGGGGAAATAAATACCTCACGAGGGCCACGTGACCTTGAGCACTTTTTTTATCTTTTTTTTCGAATATGCGACTGGTCAGTGGTGCATGCACGCATAGATAAGTCGTGGCGCTTTCTGTAACAGAAGAGCGCACCATGTTCAAGTCAGCCAATGGCTGATACAACGGCTGTGACGAGTGATTTTTCAGCTTCTTCCATCGTTTTCTTGAGAGACAAGAAAGAAATCTTTAGCAGACTTTGAGAACTTATTGTGAATTCGAGGCCACGTGCTATCCTGTAATATTTAGCTTACATGATTCCAGGAGCGCCATCCACCGAGCAGCAGAATTTTCTGATTGTGCTCCAATAGTGTGGCAGGGTCCCTTTCGTACATCTCGCTGCAGTTCGCAGGAGCGCTTCTTGCGGGAGCTGCGGGCGATGGACATCCCACACGAAGTGCGGAGGCTCAACGTGGGCGACTTTGTTTGGGTGTGCCGGTCGGAGGGCGGCATGTACGGACGGCGGGAGTGGGTCCTCGGCCCCCTGGTGGAACGGAAGCGCACCGACGACCTGGCAAAGAGTATCTTGGATGGCCGCTTTCACGAACAGAAGGTGCGGGCGAAGGGCAGCCGTGCCTCTTCCACGAAACGAGATCTGTTAGGGAAACGAGACTGAACTTACAGGACAAATAATTCAATAAAAACTGTTGACGAACATTCAAATTGTTAGGAAAAAACACAGCTGTTCTCATAAACGAAGTTTATTGCATAAACACTCCTACCTCCTTTTAGCGAAATTTCATCTTACATGAAGATAAGTTTATTGTATCCGGATATTCATTATAAAGGTATATTGCTAACATATTTATTAAAAGACTATTTTTCATTTACTTCATTATAACCAATGTTTCGTTACAGCCAAGTTTCTTATATTGAGGTGTGAGTGTACCGTAATTTCGAGCATATAACTCACCCCTACATATCACCCTCACCCCTAGCTTTAACTGCACAAAAAAAGGTGCATATAACACATGGATAGACCCCCCATCTCCACTTTTTAGGCATATTTTCCTGCGTTTTTTTTTCTTTAGTACAGGCTATATGTGAGAAAATAAAGTATTTTCGAACAATTCGCTGTATTGGTGGTAGATTGTGAGTCTTCGGCAGTTGCATGCCAACGCAAGCCGTGTAGCAGTGGCTGCTGCCATAGCAGCCACTTTGAACACAATTTAACTTGCCACGACACTTGGGCGAACACAGTAGCCAGGATCAACGTATATCCTGGCACCCAGTATAACAAAGTCATTTTCTTCTTGAATGCACCTTTGTACAAATGAGATTCAACTAAACCTATCATGTTGCACCCCTTCTGCTTGTAGTTTTCAATGAACAACGATATTAAATGTACGTGTATTTCAGGTGCGGCTGGGTGCATCGGGCATCAATCCTGTGGTCTACCTCATTGAGGAAACAGGCGGAAAGTCCACGTCCTGCATCTCCGACGCCGCGCTGCAACAGGGCATTCTAAACACGCAGGTAGGGCAACTACGTTTCCAAGTTCGGTTGTTTTCCAAAGCTCTTCTGTTCTCATCATTAAAACTAGCTCGGTTTTTCATTCTAAGCCGCGTCCAAGTTTCCACCTTTCATAGCTTCATGCAGTCAAACTTCATTGTAAGAAAGTTGCATTTTACACAAAAATAAGTGTGTTATATCCGAAAATTATTATAAAGGTTTATTCCTAACACTACTGTATATCTATTGCGAGGCTGTTTTTCATTTACTTATCTAGTGCAAGACTATTATTCATTTGCTTTGTTATAATCAATATTTTGTTATACCTGGGTTCATTATATCCAGGTTTAAGTGTACTTGTGCGTTTCTGCAACCTTTGTACCCCTTACCGGTTCAACTGCCACAGCATTATTAACGAAGCACACTCGTTCGTGTCACAGTGTGTGAAACCTGCTTGTTCAGAGTCCCTGAACCGACCTGAATTTTGTGCGTTGCTTCTCAGGTGTCGAACGGCTTCCTGATCAAGTGGACGCGTGACCCCAGAGACACCGCCTGCTTTCTTGGCATCACCACGTGCCACCTGCAGGCCAAGAAAGCAGCGGCTATGTCTTCACCCGAGTTTCTCGAGGGAAAGCCCACCTGGGAGGACTTCAATGCCGGAGGCGTGAAGAGCCGGGTATGAAAGACTGCTGCATGCTGACTGATGAGCTTCTTGCGCGTTTTTATGTCTCCTTCATCTTACTTAGACTCCCCGACCCCTTTCAGAGGTAAAGCTCCTCAGGCCGTGGCTCGTTACCTCCTCTGTAGGTAGTATGTAGCCACCTCTAGTTTATGACTTGCTCAATATATAGCATTGTGTGTAAATGTCATTAGGAATATTATAACTATATGGCTTTAGTGGTTTTCACAGCATATCGACAGAGTGAATGATGAGGAGTGGTGTGAAGCGTCTGTCCGTCCATGTGTGTGTCCATCTGTTCGTCCGTCCAGTCCATGCTCTTCTATTCATCTGTCGGTCTGTCTGTGCATGTTTCCGTCTGTTCGTATATTTTTCCTTCCGCCCATGTGTCCATCCATGCGTTCATAAGTCTGTCCGTGCCTCTGTTTGTCCATTCATCCGGACGGACGAATGGATAGACACATGGACGAATGGATGCTTCGCCCCACTGATCATCATTCACTCCGTGGATATGCTGTGATATCTTATGCTTTTTATCTATAATGGGGCGTTTCAGCATGGTGCGTAAGGAGCAACAGTTCTGGTGCATGTAATGCTGCTTATAACGCATCCTTTACATCCCAAAGCTCGTTTTACTGGCTCTACATGTGATGTGATTGTGTGGGCCCTGAATTCATTTGCAAGTCACAACCACAATGAAGTGTGAATCACATTCACGTCATTGGCAACAGCCCAACTTCACTGCCTCAGTCATTAGAGGGCGGTAGCTAGTTCTTGCTCAGGCTGGGATAGCAACGCTCTATAAGTTTAATATGGACACTAATATGCACGCTGAGGTATCATCTGCAACAGAGCTGTGTTGCATGTTTTCTTCATTTCACAGCCTTGAATTGGCTGGATGTATGTTGAGTCATTTAAGAAGTCGAATACGGCATACAAATGCCGCTGAGTGGGTGTATTACAGCCCATAGTGCTAAAAAGCTGTCTTCTAGTGAGGCTACTGGACAGTAACTATGGAAATGCATTTCTCACCCTGTGTTGTAAACTCCTGAGTGATTACGAAGATCACTGGGAGAGGCATGCGTCCCGCTGTGGACTAAAACAGTCTGAGAACGATTCTATGATGATACTTAGAGACGCTCCCGTAATATCAGTCCTCACGTCACACTGATTTACTTGTTGAGGAAAGGGGAGCAAGCGGTCGCTTCAGCTATTGGACACATGGATTTTACGTCGCATAAAGCGACCGCCCCGAAATATGGCCTCACATCTTGTTCTTGTTTTTCTTGGTTGCCTTATTTTTTATTTATTTTTGAAATTATGCTCTTGGACATAATAATTTTGATTCACAAATGCACATGGTCGCAGGAATCGCCTGCTTTGTTTTAAGGGTTCGACGTTTCATGGGTTGAGGGGCTAATTCTTTAGCTTAAATTTGCATGTGGCAATATATGCTGAATTAGAATGGCAAACTGGGCAAGTTTGTAACTGCAACATACGTTTGCTATAAGGGCAGTGCTAGCATGTACTTACTACTTTTAATTGCACTTTCTTGTTAGGCTGCCCACTCAGCAAAAGCATGGCAGTATATATTGGGAATTCATTATACACATCTTCATCTGTGCATTATCATACCATAACTCGTTCTATTATGCATTATCATTGTCCTCATGTACTATCATCATTATTGTTAGTTTACTGCATCTATTCACTGCCAGGTCCTTGGCCCCGTTGAATGGAACCTGAGGGAACCAGGAAAATATGTTCCATTAACAGGAGTACTGTTTACAGTGAGATGAACAAAAATGCAAAATACAAGTATGAAGCCGACCTTGTCAAAAGCACTTGTTCCATTTAAGTAGCAGTTCCGTTTACTGAGAGTCCTTTGGAAATGTCTTTCCAACCAAGACCTCATCATATGTGAATTCACCTGTCTGTATTGGCATTATTTCTTTCAATAATTCTCTTTTAAATCTTTTGCTCAACATCTTGCAGGGCCTTCAAGTGCGCGAAATGCTGGCCCTGAACCTCCTCCAAGTCAAAGGACTGTCACTCGACAAAGTGATGCCTCTGGTGGAAAAGTACCCAACGCCTTTAAGGCAAGTGTACTGCCCATTTTTCGCATTCAGTTTTTGAAGCCGTGCTTTCTTACTACAGTCGTGTGTGTAGTCATACAGATTTTTGTGACAAATTTTTCTTTTGCTTGGTATTATAAGGGTGCTGTTCTTTCGTCAACCATCACAACCCAACGGCATCTCCCTATGGAACGAAATTGATGAGCAGATAGATGCTGTCATCATCCTGTTTGTCATGGACAGTGAGCCATATGTTAAAAATAGTGGACATGGGGTGCAGGAGAGGAAGAGAAGGACGAAGGAGGGATGCGCGTGGCATGTGGTTCTTGGATCTACGCCGCATTAGACGGACGTTTAGATGCTCTGCTCTTTATCTCCAGGTGTAATAGTCCTTTGAACCCGGTTTTCCACTAAAGAAGTCCTCGGATTTTATACCATGAGACACCGAGCTGAATTTTTTTATTTTGCCTAATGCCCCTCTAACCTGAATTGGATATTTCTTCCTATAAAAAAACTGAAATCTGTTGATCAACTTTCTGCACCTTGTAAGAGAATAATCTTGGTTTTCGTGCTATATTTTGCTTTTGTACATTCTGCCTACTTTTTTGCCACTAGTCCTCCAACCGTCTTTTGCTAAAACTTAACTTCAACCTCCATATAACGAACCCCTGTATCACAAAATAGTGGCTGTAACTAAGTGAATGAAGAATAGTCTTGGAATAGCTATAATGTTAGAAAAAAACCTTTATAACGAACTTTTGGATATAACAAACTTACCTTTGTGTAAGATGCAACTTTGTTATAGTGAAGTTTGAGTGTATTTCTATCTCGGACTTGTTAAGTTTTTCATTGTTGTCCCTCAAACATGAAGCTATGTGTAGACAAGTGCCGAAGCATATTCCGGGGCAGAATTTCATCACCTTCATTCGAAACATGCTCCGTCATTTCCCTGAGCTTTCCCACAGCATGTACACGTATTTCTTGCTTAACTCAACCTCGTTTTATAAATATGTGCGTTCCAAAGCAACCTGACCTTGCTTACAAGTAAAGCGCTTCCCTATTACGTTATCATAAGTTGTTTATGTCTCAGCTATAGCACTTTCAAAATGAAATAAATACAGATCTTGGAGCTGAAGCTTTGCTGGCTGCTCGTTAACACCCTTTACATAAAGAAACACAGATCTCGGAAGTCGTTTTTTTGCTGGCTGTGCATGGCAAGAGCGATTGCAAGAGCCAGAAACACATTGTAGGTGCCACTTTCTGGGCACAATGTGTTGTGCGACTTTAGTCATCACTATAAGTTTAGAGTAGTTGGCCAAACCGAGACAACTATTTAGCCAGCAGTAGGCCAAGCTAAGCCGAGGTGACAGAGTAGCATACATCTCCAGCGCTATAAAACCTTGTTACTGGCTTGGTCCATGCATCTTTCATATGAAAGCCTGATCTAGATGATGGGTATTATTAACTGGTGATACTCAAAGAGTCAAGGTGCATCGCAACATTAACGCCTGCGGAATTCTTCTACTGCAGGGCTTAAAGTTTAAAATCAATGCTGCCTCCGAATGATTTTAAAACAGTACTTTTGTTATTGTCTCTCTCAGTCTTGTCTAAAGTAGCTGTTGGCTATTTGCTTGTCTTGGCCCTCTACTCCATAAGTTATCTAGGTTAGTGCTCTAGAGTGCAACTTCATGGCAGGTTTTAATATTTTTTGTTTTTTTAACAGGTTGTTTGAAGCATTCGAGAGAGCAACCTCTGACCCTCGCGGGAGGGCAGCGTTCCTGAAGGACTGCGGGTAAGGTGGTCACTAGTACTGCTGCCCTGTATGGTTTACCTTCTTACCACGGTAACGGTCACTGTTACCATTATACCTGGGTTATTAGTCTTAAATTTTATGTGCCCATATCAAACGGGGTTCATTCGGCTATTCCAGATAAAGTTGATTAGTTTGCTTCTTTGGCATTATCACAAAAGTGCAGCACCAGTGCAGGCAAATCAATGCTTAGTTTCTATTGATTCATTTTTTAAATCTCCTTTAATGTTAACTCCATGCCTCAATTCCTTAGCACCAATCCAGCCGCAGAACCATGAATACTGACTCTACCTTGTACATTATGCCTGACAATGCTTAGGTAATCTAGCTCAAACTCGAATGTAACGAACCAGGGTATAACGAAATATTGTTTATAAAGAAGTAAATGAAGACTAGTCTTTCAATGAATATAGTGTGGGAATTATAACAAATTTTCGCATATAGCAAACATATTTTTGTGTAATATTCAGAGGTTCGAGTGTATTCAACAGTTCGCCAGGTATAAGTCATAATCATGAAAAAAAAAATTGAGCGCTGCTTACATGCTAACCACATCAAAAAGCACCCATATATATGTTTGTTTAGTGTATTGTAAATTATGTATTATAGTGCATTGTATATCCTTGAAGCATGACGACAAGATCACATATCTTCTTGTTTATTTTGTCTGTCTGAGTGTGCATTATAGTATATTTCATTTGCGTTAATAATAGTTGCGATAGTTGTGATGTAAATGCAGCAGCAAACTGCAAAAGATGATTGTGGAATTCCACAGTGAAAGTATTAAGGTAGGCCCAAAAATTGATAGGGCGAAAACAAAGATAATGCAGAGTGGCCTGGCAAAACAGAAGAAATTCGAAGGGGCCCTGCAACACTTTTTGAGTATGGTCAGAAAACGCTGCCGATCGGTAATAGAGGCTCTCAACAACATGTGAGCCACATATTATAGAGCAGCATGCGGCCTGGAATTCACTATAAATTATCAAGGTCAGCTAAAAATTGCTTTCTCTTCTCTCGACAAATGACTGAAGACGCTCAAAAACCACTAAAAACCAGTAAAAAGCCCATCTATCAGCCATGGGCTGATTTGAACATGGCGCACTTGGTCGTTACAGAGATCGCTGCGTGAGGCCGCGACTTGTTAACATGTGCGCTCACGATCACACTGAAAAAGCCGCGCATTTAAATAAAGAAAGAGAAAAGGTGCTGAAGGTCACGAGGCATGCGTGAAGTACTTCTTTGCCCCTTCCACTCCTCCCTGCTTAGCTTCCAGCTCTTTTGTCAGCACGAGAGACGAGAAAACGCGTTGGCAGCGTGCGACAAATCTTTGTAACCCCGCTCGTACTAGACGGATTCTTAAAATTTTTGTGGCTTTGATTTCGTAAGGCAATACGTAAACTCTTCCAGTGAATTCATTCAATGGTTACTTGAAAAAGTGTTTTAGAACTCCTTTAAGATCAACTACCATACATTAGATTGTACACAAGGAAATGTATGCCTAAGGCAACTACTCAAGGAAGAATTTAATCACAAAAAAGAAATTCACCGAAGAATACGAATGAGCTGGAGCGCATTTGTCAGGCACTCCTAAATAACGTCGGGAGATCTGCCACTATCATTAAAGCGAAAAGTGTATATGCTGTCAGCTTTAACATATAGATCTCAAACATAGAGAATATCAAAACAACTATACAGCAAAATCTGAGGATTATGCAGCGTGCAATGGAACGTAGAATGATAAGAATAACATTGAGAGATCAGAGCACTGCAGCATGGGTAAAATAACAGGCAGGAGTCGCAAATATCCTAGCTGACATCGAGCGAAAAAAGAATTAAGCCTGGGCTGGTCACGTAATGGGTAGAACAGACAACCTGGGGAGAGTAAAACAGAATGGTTACCAAGGGACGGGAAACGCAGTCAGAGAAGGCAGAGAGTTAGATGGGGTGTCAAAATAAGGATAAAATGGAATCAGCTCATGCAGGATAGGGTAGACAGGAGATCATTGGGAGTGGCCTTCGTTCTGCCGTGAACTGACGCAGACCGACAATGATGATGATTATAAATAGTTCAGTATGATAAAGTTGAAAATACAAAATCACATGACTTGTGAAAGCAGCAGAGGCTGCGTCAAATAGTTTGTTTGTCATTGCTTCTTGCTGGCTGGCTTGCTGTCACTTTAACCTAGTAATTAACAAGTCAACCCTTTTCTACTCAGGATCACTGGCAAAGCCTTGCACGACAAGTTGTGGGCGCTGTACGGAAGCGCGGAACCATTGCAATGAAGAAAGGGATCGGGCGTCACGATTATTCGCTGAAAAGGAAAATCATTAAACAGGAGGTTATATCTTTATATATATCACAAGAGTATCGACGTCTTCTCATTGTCGCTCCTTCCATCATTAGCAGAAACACATCAACATCAAATTGACAAGGGAGCATGATTCTCGACTCAATTCTGGCCTCCGCATTTTGTCTGTTTGCAGGAGAAATGGCTGAAATAAAGGTTTTTGGTTTGCTCAAGATCGAGTAAATAAAGATTGGTTTGATCAATGTTTGTATGTGCATGTGTATGTTCCAACTGATTTTCTATTCACCTAAGGCACACGGAGTTACGAATTCTAAGCAAATACCATGCTTATTTTTTTTCTCTTGTTCAGCTATAGCAGTAGCTTATACTGATGTGAATTTTCAAGGCCAATTTCATGTTAATTTGGTCGGATTCCAAGCAGCTGTTCTGACTGCATGCATTGTTATCGTAAGAAGAAAAGATGAATGATTATCGACCACACTGACCGTACTCGGTACGGCATGCTAAACCGTTGTTGCCGAGCCTGGCGAGACGCACTAAAACAGTTTGCATCAACTGCGCAGCACTGCTTTGCCACGGGAACGAGGTAACCCGAAAGTCCGTATTTTGTACATTCTTATAGTCAGCCCGTGTGAGAACTAAAAGAATGATGGAGGGCATGAGCAAGTTCTGCGTCTGTATTTCATTGACTTGTTGATTTGCAAAGCAGGAACTTCAATAGGTGCACGCCCGGGGAGGACGTCTGGGGAAGCAAGCTTCCCTATATATTAGGGGGGGGGGGGGGGGCGCTAAGTCTGCCTCATACTTTGGCTAAATAAGGGGGAGTTAACCTTTGCCCCCCCCCCGAAGGAGAACCTTGTGCCCGGCTATAAGAACACCAACTTGAAATAACGAGAGCAGCGACACAGCGGATTATATACTCGCTTGAACGGGCTCTACACGCGAACGAACTCTATCTACTGAAACCGAAACCAACCACTTAAACATTGTATACTTGCTTTCTGTGTAATATGTGACAGTAAATTATCTTTAACAATTAGCAAATACTTACCTTAGAGGTAATACGAACTTGCTGGGTCCGCCAAACTTACACACATACTGTTATTTATTTCTTAAACAAGTTAGTGCCGCTGTCTAACGGTTGGCGGCAGCGCGTTCGCTTAGGCCAGCAGCTCCACGCAGCATTTCGGTGGATGCCGTGTCCAGCTGTTTACAGGGAGCGTGAGGAGCAGTTAATTTCGGAAGCCGGGCTCAGGGCCTCAACACCGGCACCATGGTTTTAGCCGACTTGGGCCGCAAGATCACCAACGCGTTGCGGTCGCTCAGCAATGCGACCATCATCAACAAAGAGGTGGGTACCTCTAACCCGACGTCGACGACGTCTTCCCCGCTTCGAGGCCTACGTCAACATCGCGTGCCGGCCCGAAAGGCTATGAAACGTGTTTACGTCGATCCCTCACGAAGTGCGTGTTCCGTTAAGTGCTGTGTTTTCCCCCGAGGTGACTACCTGTGTAAGCCGGCGACGTTTTTTAGGTAAGCTGGTAGAGTTGGCCGACGTCCCAACCGACGTCCTGTAGTTCACAGCTCCGAATTATCTTTCGCGTGCATCACGCGTATGACAGCTGCTACATTCAAAAGAGCCGAGGAATTTATTGTCTGTTTAGACGACAAACCTCGGGCACGGTGCAAGTTGCAGCGTCAGTGTTTTATTAAACAGCTATCGCTAACCGAAACGTAATCACGCCGAGGCTTTGGCACAGTACGTTTGAAACACACCGCTGATCGAACGCGATTAGAGGTAATTAACGGCGTGATAGTTCATCGGCGGACGTTTGTGAAAGTGTCTGTGAAAGTATTTCCCGTGCGCTCGCTGAAGAAACTCGCGTTTCGACGTGAGGGAGCCTAGAAATGAAATGTCGGTCAAGTTTGCTCATTTACATAGGACGCGTAGCATGTTCCTCGTGGCTCTCCTATCGTTGCAACATGGCTGGATTTTTTTTTCTTTTTGTTTACAGGTTCTAGATTCCATGCTAAAGGAGATATGCACGGCACTTCTAGAAGCTGACATCAACATCAAGCTTGTGAAGCAGCTCAGAGAAAATGTCAGGTGAGCTCAACCGTGAAACGCTCGTCTTTGAAGCTGAGTAGCGTATTCGTCTTGCATGATATTTTCTTTTACTTCTGTTACATAGAACACCTAAAGACGGTGTCGACGTTACGCGGATTCTGCGATCTACATTGACCTGTTATTCCTGGTGACTTTATTATTGTCGTTGTTGTTGTTCTAATGCAAAACCTGTTGTTACGCGTCAAGTACGTTTACTTCAACTTGTATAAGATTTGCTCATTCCACATCATGCCGGAGGAAATGTCAAAATGCAAGACATTCCTGCCTACCTTATTTAGAAAGACACCAATCACAACTTGACATCAAACGCTCAAGCTTGATAAGGAGTATGTGTTGTACTAAAGTTTCGACTTCCACAGAGCGCCTTATAATTTTGCCGGACGTATTTGTTGCCGTGAAATTCACTTTGTTTTCCTGTTAAAGGGCTGGAATGGGCATATTTGAGCCTCCCGATTCATGTGCATTGTGAAATCAAAGCTGTAGACTGATGCTGACCTGCATGGATTATTTCTGTACAGGCCACTTTCGTACGTTTACTTAAATGTTGCTGAACTGTGCCACCTAAAGTGAAGCCTTATTCTTTAACACAAGTGCATGCAACGGTCTACAGATCTATGGAGCATGTATGCATAGAACATGTGTAATTTTTTTTCTACAAAATGCGCACAATTTCTCGAGATGTGCAGCTGATGCCTTGTAGTGGTTACGGCGTCATTCTGTGCACTTTTTTCATGGTTTGACGCAGCTTCATTGTGCACGGTGAAGTTGCAGAAGGGTGCTGGCATAGTCAGTGGCACACGATACCCAAAAGCTTTCTTTAGCATTTAACCACACTGTATTTAGTTTTCCTGTCTATTGCATTATTGCAGTGTTACTACTTGTTCATTTAGATTTTTTCTCGCGTTGCCATCAGTGAAGTATGATGGCAAATTTCAAAATAATATTGAATATTATGTGCTTCCCTGTTCCTGTTGCTTCCCTGTCAAGCACTTTGCTCAAATACTTGTTCCTAAAAAGCAACTTTCATTATTGGTGCCCACGATTTTAACATGTGCAGAGTTACCGCATTTCTTTCATTATTCTAGTCACCGCATACCAGGCGCTGTCGTGATAGATGTGCGTGTTGCTAGTTTTTATTTGCATTGTCATCACGCCTTGCCTTACCGTTTACCAAACTGCATAAATGCATCTGCAAAATTAACTTACTCTCGTTATGTCATTATAATGACTACAATTCTAGGCTAGAATATGCGTAACTATGCTGTCACGTCGCGAAATTTTGTGTTTCTCAGCCTCTGTACTATAGCTAAATGTCAACTTTCCTGCCACAAAAAGCTCACAGATGAATGCTAAAACTAACGCATGTACATATATATGTTTGTGTGTGTTATGAGCGCTCCTTGATTTTCCGAGTACCGCTTTGAATCATTCTGAACCGATTGCTTTGACTACAAGCGGTTCCGGAGTGGCAACTGGTATACTCATTCTATTTGGAGTTTATGACAGCAATGTTGGTTGCAATGGCTTGGCGGTGTGATTTTAACTCTTTTAAGCCTTCTCTTTCCTCACACCGTCTATACTTTCACACGTTTGTCTTCCTTTCCCACTATTGTTTCCATACTTCCCTCCTTCTAAGCACTTGCAGTCGAGATTGGCTGACCTGCATAAGCTACGAAAGTGAGCCTATCACGGTTGGAAAATTCGGTCCGTGGCAAACAAGATTACAGCCTAAATGGCTGTGCGGCTCTGGTTACATAAAATGCGGGGTAGTATACCAAAGTCTTTCACTTTTGGCTAGACTCCCTGCCTTTGCTCCCATCACGTTGTCTCCGTGTCTGTTGCCGTTCGCTTCTTTTTTTTTCCTGCTTTCACATTTCCTAAAGAAACAGAGGCGACCGCAGGTAATTATAGAAAGTTGCAAGCCAATGCTTCCACATCCCGTGCAGATCGGTCATCGACATCGACGAGATGGCAGCCGGGCTGAACAAGCGGCGGATGATCCAGTCCGCCGTGTTCAAGGAGTTGATCAGGGTATGTTCCATCGTTCCATGTGTTCTTTGTTCCATGCATGGAGAGGGAGCTCAATGTTGAAAACTCTCCGACGGAGCTGTTGTTGGATAAATAGCATAACATATGGAACACAGGATAAAATGCTGTGGTTCATAGCATGCTCTTTATTTTCATTTGACTTGTGTTACAACAGCTTCATCGGGCTCAAATAAACAGTAGGTTCACTTGGCCAGGATCGTTTGGAAGGTGCAAAATTACCGTAGTTTAAAAGAAAAAGTCTGTCTCTCCTAACCACTGTAGTGTACTCCACGACATAACTTCTGTGTTATGCCTATTGTAACTACTACTATAAAATTTATTGCATTCATGCTGAAATTTAGTTATGATTTGCCTACTTGATGGCTTGTAATGTTTAAGTGCTATTTTTTTTTTATTTAAATATCCACAGTTATGAACTTTTACTGTTCACTTTGGAAACTGAATCGAGAAATAGGACAGAATTTGAACGTTTGGCTGAGTTTCAAATGTTGGCACTGTCTTCTGGTCAACATCAAACGTTCTCGTTGGCTAGGGTGTGTATGCATGCTGTCTTTTCTTAGTGTTCGACTGCAAAGGTTTTTTCTTGGGCATTGTTTTAGGGTTGTCGTTTTGTCATTGGCAGTTGGTGGACCCCGGTGTCAAGGCATGGCAGCCAACGAAAGGCAAGAACAACGTCATCATGTTCGTCGGCCTTCAAGGCAGCGGCAAGACCACAACATGCACAAAGGTCGGTGCTTGCAACCTTGCCAGTTAACTCACATGCACTGTAAGATGTTTGATTAGAGACAAGCGATCGGCGCGTGCAAGCTGAGCAGACGGCAGATGCCCTGCTTAGAGAGAGACTGGACAAAACTTTTTGTGGCCAAAATTTCAGCGTATTTCCAGATTTTCAACCAAATTGAAAGATTGAGTGTAGAAATCGGGAAACATAATCTTCATTTCATGTAGAAAGTTGTGGAAAATAATGAATTTAATGCGTTTTTTCACAAACGGCGGTGACTAGCGGCCACGCCGTGAACTGGAGGAGGTGGCATGTTCAAAGATATGTGAAATTAATGGGCTTGTGTGAATAGTCAACCACTTGTAATATTCAAATGAATATCACAGTATTTGAATTTAAGCTGTTATAAATTTCAATGTGTTCATGATAAACAAATAAATATTAAACCGCATGTAACCCCCCTTTAAAGGTGGTTTCACTGCAGTGAAAAGGTGCTTTATACTTTATACAGAGAAAGTCCACACTGCCAAGAAGCCCCACTGTAAAGTTAAATGAACATATTGTTACGAGTCTGGAGGCGTTCACTGCGAACGCTTGCCAATGGAGCAATGGATGGGGTTGAGGCTACGAAAACGACAACAAAGTCCTTGTCCTTTCCTTCTCCGACTGCTCCTCTTTCTCACTCCAGAGACGCTGTTATACTATTTCCCCCACATCAATACATCATTTTTTGAACTTTAAAAACCTTTTATACCTGCTTATATGCTCCAAGTATATTACGTGGTAAGTTTTACCACGTAACATATTTTACAGATTATTTTGCTTGCATTCTACAAAAGCTCAATCGTGCTACTGTTCGAAGTTCTTTCCACTTTCTGTGAACCAAAAGAACGTTATTTGCATATGTCTTGTTTCAATTTTTAAAAAGTATTGTGCAGGTTAATTAGGTCATGAGAAATATTCTCATTTCGTTTTGTAAGTATGTGACATATACTACTCGAATTCACTTCAAGCTTAAATTTTACTGTTCGCACAAACATATAAATAACTGTTTATCGAAGCAGTACTGTCTCAAGTCGAAATTCGATGTTCAGTATCTCTTTAAGCACAGGCCGGCATGCAGACAGTACAGGTAAATATGGCTAAGCGTCGCTGTGTTGATTTGTAGAAAAATGCCTAATGAATTCGGCATATGTGGATGCTGCACATAATGAATTTCTGAGACTGACAAACCTTTTGTGGCGTACTTTATAATTAATTTTTTTAGGTTAACTATCAACTACATTACTATGAATTGAGGCTTTGTTATTGTGGTATTTTTGCGATATAGTAATAATTACTGTAGCTGGTTTCATGTTCCAGTAATATGTGCCAAGTGCAACACTGGGTAAAAGTGCAATGTCACAAACTCTTTCAAAATCATGACCTCACAATGACATGTGGGGCATTGGTGGGCAATTTCAAGAGCTTGGTTTCAAATTTCGCTTCTCGCAATTAAATTCTTATCAAGAAATTAAGTGGGGGTGGAGTAAAGTTTTGAAACGCCGCTTTCTTATCCAGAACTGTTTTAGCATTTCTCGCAAAAATCTCTGTAAGGGTGGCTAGTTTTTCGCTTCGCACTCTTGCACTTCTGTTGGAGCAGACATGCTTTGAAGATTTCTAACACTGGAACAAGGTTGCTGATATAAGAAATCTCCTCCACTGTCATCGTTGCGAGGAGTAAGCCGAAACACGTGCTATACATGTACGTCGTCCGCAGCTGGCATACCACTACCTCAAGAAAGGCTGGAAGACGTGCCTAGTGTGTGCCGACACATTCCGAGCCGGTGCCTTCGACCAGTTGAAGCAGAACGCGACCAAGGCGAGGATACCCTTCTACGGAAGGTGAGCGACCGCACAATGATTTTTCGTGACACAACACGCTTACTTTATTGTGTGGAGCTGTTCATTACCGCCACTGTGATTCGTTGGTACTAGTGCTCTAACATTGATTCAAATGTTACGGTATCGAGTGTTGGCCGCAGTTGCCGCATATCTATATAAGCGATATGCTTAAAAGCTTGTGTGCTTAGATTTAGACGCATGTCGGATGGTCCTGGATGGTCAAAATTTGTGAAGCCGTCCACTTGGTCATCTCTCATAATCATATTGTAGCTTTAGGACGCAAGGCCCCTACAATTATCATTATTGTTGTTATTAAGCCTTTCTCCTTCGAAAAGGGCTTAGAGTATGAGTGAAAAGTGGCAGTGAAATGTTGTCACCATTGCTGTTGGTTTTTCCTTAACTTAATTCACATCTTCCCGTGGCTACAGAAGCTCTTATAGTTGTGGGCCCACTTCAGGCTCTTGTTACTCTGTTAGATTTTTCAGGTAGTATTAGTTTGTGTTAAACTCTGTAGTTTAATGTAATGGTGAAACAGTAGCACCACCAATATCTGTTTCTGATAACGCCATGTTTTAGAAGTCACAATGATGAACGAAGGCAGTGTTCTCGCTGGCATTGGAATTACTCTTTTTAGTTTCATCGCCCGTACACAGCTCAACTTAAGTTTATTGCAGACAGAGCTGGTAAATAATCCCTCAGAACATTGAACGAGACCCATTACAAGAGACTGCCTGTGTGATAAATTTAAGCACGTACAGAATGGTTGTCTTGCGAACAGTGTGTTCTGTGCTTTACAGAATTTCTAGTGTGTATTGTACGACATTATGTACATTAAAATGTCTGTATCACAAAAATGGGTACAGTGAACTGTCAGATATAATTAGGTGTGTAAAAAAGTGGTCTCACTACCTCTATTGTGTAATGGGCCTGTGTGGTCAACAAATTCTGGACCTAATAAAGCCTCCTTTGTCTCCCACTCAACTTTGATAACGTTAGACTGTGCTGTGCTCGTTCGTGAAGCATGACTGCAGACTGTGTGAACAAATATTAATGTTGTCCTAGCCTCCCAAGCTCTGCGTGTTGAGCTTTTTACGAAACGAAAGCTCTCACCCTTGTACGTTGGCTCGTGTCTTCACTCGGTGTCCATCTTCTTAGCACCACACCTACTTTACTCTTGCGAAAACCTGCGACACAAGTTTCTGTCTTATCCTCGCAGTTACACAGAGGTCGATCCGGTGGTGATAGCACAGGAGGGCGTCGAGAAGTTCAAGAACGAGGGCTTTGAGATCATCGTCGTCGACACCAGCGGCAGGCACAAGCAGGAGGACTCGCTGTTTGAGGAGATGTTGCAAGTGTCCAATGTCACCGTGAGTGCTTTCGCTGTCTGTTGTTTCGACATGTTGCATCTCGCGTCGAGTGTTTACATTGTAACTGTGATAACTCAGCGAGAAACGCTCATTGCGTAAAAGTATAATAATGGGTGTTTGGCAGGATGACACACTTGCACGTGCATCAGCGCTTGCATCTTTGTTCTTCCTGTGTGCTGCTGTCTTTATCTATTATGAACCAAATAGCTTACCAGTACGTTTGAAGCGTTTTAACTCGGAAGTGGCAAGAAATATGCGGTGCCGTCGGCATTGCCAGCATTGTCAATGAGCTAAAAATTGCGATAGATGCAAAAACAAAAATAGCTTGAGGAATGCTTGGACTGGCATAAAATTTCTCTGAAAAGCTCCTGCAAGCAGCTAAGTTAAATGAGTTTAATAAAAGGACTCTGGCTAAATTTTGGTCAGGATGGATACCAATACCAGGTCTTTACAGATGTGAAATCAGTACGCTTCGAACGTGCTGTTACAACAGGACCTATCGGTTGAGCATGTGTTCTATTGCTTCGTGCCCCAGCACAGACGATGTTGCAGCTCGCAGCAGACTTTGCAGTCAGCAGGAGTACTGTGTCTCTGCTTATTGTGGAAAGATGGCTGTCACCATTGTTGTTGGTTTGCCTCCTTCGTGTCCCGTGAAACTCTTTGGAGATTGTTTAGAGACTCTGGGAACAGGGTCCTTTAGAGTCCTTCCAGAGACTCTGAGAACAGAGCCTAATAATGCGAATGCATTTCACTCATTAACTCTTGAATGGTTGAATTCTTTAATCATATGTATATAGTTCCCCAGGGTCAAATTTACTTATTGCTAATCCAAATTCATCCGACATATGTTTATAGAAAAAAAATCATATTTTTTTATCTTTAGGGTGACTACGAAGTGATAAAAGATTCGGTTGTGTGCATTGAGTGAATGAATGCAACAGCAACAAATTGTAATATTACATGAAGTAAGGCTGGCAGCCAGCTATTTTGGATCTAATATCGCGCGGTACTCCTACAAAACGCTAGTGTAAGCAAATACAACTACAGCGATCGCAACCGCGCCCTTAAAGTCAAAGTTCACCGTTGCCACTTAAACAACACTCCACTTAAACAACACTCCCTCCCCCCCGACGCCCCCCTTTTGCTCACGTTTGTCTCACTTATGCAAGATTAGTGATTTCCTTTCTGTTTGAGCATTTGACGGGAGTTCTAACATGCCGGGTGTGTTATCTTATGCGCCTTCCTGGCGATAGAGATGGGCCAGCTAATTTGCTCTGAGCTTCAACAGCACTCGCAGGCTTTTACTCGCTCTAGAAAGTTACACTGCGCGGGGGCTGTTATCAATTTAGACTTGTTAAGGAACATGTCTGTGACAGCAAAAATCCCCTGAGAGTATTCATGCAATTGATATCGCGATAATAACGCAGTTTTTTACCGCTAAATAAGTGTTTTGGGTTAGCTCGACGTTCAGTCTCCTTTTTGTTTGATTTGTGCATTTATTTTCCAAATTGTTGTACCGAACTTCCATATAACGAAACCCTTTTATAACTAATATTCCTGTGAGTTTGTCAGTTTCATTACACTCGGACCTCATTATAGCAAAGTTGCATCTTACAAGAAAATAAGTTCGTTATGTCCAAATATTCGTTACAGAGGTTATTTCTAACACTGTATCTATTGCAAAACTATTCTTCATTTAGTTTTTTATAACTGATATTTCGTTATATCCGTGTTTGTTATATGGAGGTTTCATTGTATGTCCGGGTTCAACTTGAAATTTTTCATCTTCTCACCAATGCGACATCTCTATTCTTAGAGAGTCCATAAGATGGGAGACTCAACCGTAGCGTTATCATCTGTGTTAGTCAGCGTCGACACCGAAACAGGCGTCATTGCACCCTGTTGAGCATTAAATGACAGAGTAGCAAGTGGTCACCTATTGAGAGATTTGAAACTTGTCAACCATCTGTTTTGTGTGCGGAAGAAGGGAGAACCGCCTGAAGAATTAAACCAAAATTAGCCACTGTCACTGTGGCTTCACGCTTCAAGGAAGAAATATTATCGAAAGAGGTGCACTTTTTAAACATGCAAGCAACAACATACGTTTACATCAGTGACCATATTAAGGTGCATGTCGTTAATTTGAAAGAGTTAAAGGCGAAGCTTGAACGTCCTCCATATCCTCTTTTGCTTAGTTTATGGTTTATGGTTTAACTCATCAGTTTGCCTAAGCAAGTGCTCACACTTGTGGATGCTGTGTTCATCTTCTGCTCATTATTTTATTATGTTCCTCCTCTTGTTCCTACAGAAACCAGACAACATAATCTTTGTGATGGATGCATCGATTGGTCAAGCCTGTGAAGCTCAGGTGAGCTCTCTCGCCAGTTAGTGCACTTTTCTTGGTTGCTGGACTAAGTTTAGGTTTACTCACAGTAAGACGGCAGTGGAAAGTAAACTGCATTTTAGGCCTCACACGAAGTCTGTGTTTCAAGTAGTGTAGACGTAGAAAAACCGTGTCACGAGAAGGGTGCATAATGGCACTTTTTGCATTGACCGGTAGGTGACATAAATGTACACACTCTAATGTTTAGTCTGGAAAGCAAGCACACTTCTCTTGGTTACGCTATGTTGCACAAGGGACCACTTGTTTCGCTTTGCTAATTTTGCCCTGTTGCAGGCCCGTGCCTTCAAAGAGAAAGTGGACGTCGGTGCTGTCATCGTCACGAAGCTCGACGGCCATGCGAAAGGAGGTGGAGCCCTCAGCGCGTGAGTTGTTGCCAATGATACTCGGTGCTGGTTCCCTAGGACTTGAAAAAAGAAATTTGGTCACGTTTGGCGATGCATGCAGGGTGCTCAAAGTTGTGGGGGGGGGACAAAGGATAGAGGGGTGCGCAACAAAGAAAACGGTCTGGAAGAGCGACAACTAAAGGGGTGCAGAAGCAGGATCGGGTCGGCATTCAACTGCAAGAATCTATGGCCGCTTCGCCGATGGCTTATCGGGGGTCAAAAGTAGTTTCCCGGGAAGCTGCCAGATGGCCGACTGTGTTCGCTGTAATTGATCGGCGGCACTAAGAGATGTTCGTTGTAAGTGCGATTTCGTGCCATGAAAATAATGTATATTTTCACGGTCACGTGGTTATCGTTCATTTTAAGTAGGGCAGTTATATGTGGGCTCGACTGTATTCTAGTCTGCCTGTCTATTTGTTCACGATCTTGAATGAACTGTCTTCGAGGCTTTTTGAAAGTGTTCAGTTAAGTGAGGAAAAGGTGGCTTCTTTCTTTAAATATCAAACATTCTTTTTTTTACAGCGAAAGCTGTCATGAAATTTCAACAAGTGTACCATGCGCAGTAGTTGCCCGTCGTCGCCGGTGTCCTTAACGACTTCTCACGAAATGAGAAAAAACAAACTTAAGTAAACAAAAACCACCAAGGACACAATGGGATTTGATCCCCGGTCCGCTGCATGGCCAACCTAGTACTCCATTACTGAGCCACGCCAGTGCTTGAGACTTCATTGCGAATTGGCCTTAGGCAGGCTCAATGTCGGGAAAGGAGTCGGTTAAGGGGGGATGCTACACCTTCCAAAAACTCCTTTATTTTTGCGAGTACCTCAGTCAAATTTGGAGAGCCTATGTAGATTTTACTGCTGATTTCAAAAATCTAATTCTTTTTTTGCTGTGACAATTAGTTTTAAAGATATAATGAACTGCGGCTTTTTCACTTAAGGCCTAATTAGCTAATTAACTGTAACTTGGATATTGATGTGCAACCTATAGAACCTATTCGGTATGTTCACAGTGTGCAATAAAGTATAAATCATTGTTCTGGGCTATTTCGAAGCAAAGTTGTGGGATGTTGAATATGACATGAAAAATTTCCCCATCTACACTTGAAACAAAAGATCCATTTAGAGAATTTTCTCCAAAAATTATTACAATAAAACTTACTTTACGACACATCCCCTGCATTTATATTCGAAACAAAAAAGAAATCGTAATGATAACCCAGATAGAACAAGAGATATTGCTCCGGCATAATGGGAAGCACATGAAAATTGTCGTTTTGAGAAATCGAGAAAAAACGTGGGCACACATTTTTATTGCAGAAGATGCAACAAGACAACCTCAAAATGCACCAGAAGCATAGTCTGAATGCATTCTGTGCTCATGCCTCCTCTTCACTAGCTTCCGGAGTTCCAATGAGGCTGTTCTTTTCTTGTTGGAGACAATGCTGCGACGGTGGTCTTTTTCTCTCGCTCTCCTGGCACCAGTACTTGTCGCATTCATGTCCATTTCACCTAAGATTGCCGTTGCAGAATTCAAATTGCCCGTGTTGAAGCGCAAGCACTGCTTCTGCAACAGCTGCTTCAACAGCGAACAGGGACGCATGGTGCTCCTTGGGGGCCAAACTCCAGATTACCGAATGTAGGCTCTCGTTGGAGTTCTGCGTTTTGCCGCGTTCGCACCTCTGAAGCAGGGCTCTTTCCGAAAGCCGGGTATAAACCGGTAGTAATGCCTCTGCCACGTCTTTCGGTAGATTGTAGGCATGCCTGGGGTCGGGCTCACCCTTTGCTTTTGCGGCATTGTGCCGACACCATGAAGTTTCACCAGCTGGGCACAGACTGTGGTCCGAGCATTCATCAGTGGAGGTGACGTGGCGGTATGTGGCCATCACAGCCTTTGCATCTCGCCCACGTCACCTTCATGCGATTTCAGAGCCCGGCCATAATATGTGCTCAGCCTGGTGATCAGCTCACCTGTGAGCCTGCCTTTCCCACCAAGGCCTCTTTTCCCATCGCACTTTTGTTTCTGCACCAGGTTTCTCAATGCGGTGCCCATCAGTTTCTGTACATGATTAATACAGTCTTCCTTCTGCACGTCAATGTAACCATACACCTTGGCGTCTTGTATGGCGCAAAATGTCCTAGAGTCTCCATCAGACAGCATAGTTGTGTAGCGCAGGCCATGGCGTTCAAGCGACCTCTGAAATAGAATTAGAGCCGCCTCCACTTCCATTTGCCCCGCTTTGCTGTTCGTATTTTTTTGGCATTTGTGGTTAGCCTTCCATTCTTGATAGCCCTCACTACTAGGCTTTGGGCCCACCTCGCAGCCTAGGCAAAAGTTGGAAAGAACGACGTAGTCCAACACGTAGCCACTAAATAATTCGATAACTGTGCCCACGCCGATGTGGGAAGAATGGCCTCGCGTCTTCCACGTGCCGTCGTAGCTAACGGCAATATCGCCCCGGTGGCCGAAGCACAAGTCATCATAAATTGTTCTAACCTTTTCCGCACATTCGCTCATAGCGGACTCAGCCGCTCGCGTTGCAGCGGGTGCCAGCGTGTTCTTCAAATGCCGCTGAAACGTCTTGTGGTGCATACCGCGGTGTGAGATGCCCATTGTTGTGAAAATATCGTTCATTTTCGTTTGGCCGTTGCCGGTAGCCACCATCGCCCTCGAAGCGAGAAGATTTACTTCAAACGGATTGCACGTTTTCGTGCCGTTCGCGCGGGGCGAAGTCCATTCATTCGCGATCTCGCCGCACCTTTCACACTGCACTAGCACTTTCACGGCAAGTCCGTAGTCCCGATCCCCTCTGACGATCGTAGCCGGTCCGTGGCAGGCTTTGCAACACAAGGCACCCATTATCGCGTTTAGGATATCTAGATGCATAAGCAGATAAGGAGCAGCGTGGTCCGAGTCCTGTGCGGTTGCCTCGCTACAACTCGCGGTGAAATAGTCAATTTTCCGTGCAGTTGCTGGCGCCGATGAAAGCCGATCGAGCGTCGCTTTCTCCCGGGCATGATTTTCTTCAACTTCGGCGTTTGTCACCACCTTGGCGTCGATTCGTAGTCGTCCGGAGTTCGCTTCACCGTCATCGTCGTCGGAGGCAACGCGCTCGGTCGCACCATCGCTGAACGGCCGCGGAGCGTCGACACATCGTTCGTCGGAGTCAACCAAGGGCTCTGATGACTTCGTAGACTTTCTCCCACGACCTTTGCGTTTCCTGCGACCAAATGCGTGCACGGTCCGATACTTTTTTGCGTTTCCAGGCATGGCGATACGATCAGAAGCTTCAGAGTGCTCTGCCGATTTCGAGGCGTCACAGCGGTAACCCTTTCAAAATGGCGTCGGGTCGCGTATGCAGGCGCAAGCCGCGAGCTTCCAGCCAACCGGAAAGCGCCATTTCAGTCACGTGCGCCGTTTAGCCAATGGCAGTGAGCGCGGCTCTTCGTCTTTGAGGCCCCGTTTTTCGAGCCGGGGAAACGCTCAATGTTGCTTACTGAATAAAAAAAAACAGCTGAAAACGCGTTCTTTCAAACAAGACCAAAATGGCGCCGATCGAGTGGGTAGTTCCCGCGTATCGTAGAGCCGAAACCTGCGCTATTCGCCCTCAATTTAAAGGGCAGGACGCCCGTTTTCGGTTTTTTAAAGTTGAATAACGATAAAAGTTGATGGTATTCGGCTATGAAATTTTGTAAATAGGTGCGCAATGATGTCGGGAACGCGAAAAGAAGGTCTGCGAAAACTCGATTTTTTGGCTGATTTTCGGTCCCGAAGTGCCGCGTCCCCCCTTAATATGAGTAGTAAAGCGTTTTAGAACAACAAAAGAATAACCAGGCCCCAAACAATGTCAATTACATTACGAAAAGGTCATTGAATGCTCCAATTCAATACAAGAGCTTCAGGCATACCTAATTTATCGTTGTCAGCCACAGCATAAAAAAAATTGAAAGAAATTCCTTGAAAGTGTGTAGCGGGTACCACGATTCTTCGTACGCAGTATGGCCGAGTGAATGCCTCCTTACATCACAGAAATTATGATGATTTATGGCGTAGTGAGTATCCTGCAAGTGTATTTGTAGCAGTTACCCAAAGAATGTTTAAAGAAGGCTTTGAAAGGCTGCTCTTCCAGATTTCGCTGGGACGGTGCTGCTCTTTTCGCGCAGGCCTGCCAGTTGTTTTTACTGACATTGAAAAAAGTAACATTCAGCATTAAGTTGATTTGCTGCTTCAACATTGTTGAACAAAAATACGTGGGCTACGGTTCAGGGATCATCGAGCGATACTGCTGTGAACGATCTGAGGCAGAGCACAATGAATTAACAATGGATGAAACTTTAATTCAATAATGTCACGAAGTGAGCCTATTTTTATCCTTTTTCGCTTTTCATAATTCTTAATTTCAGCCTCTGTTACAAGACAACGTTGTCGATAAACTTTCGAACATTTTGTTGTCTGCAGCTCCGAAGGCAATACATAGTACATACCCCTGCAATATGACTTTCAGTTTCTTAAGGGTAGATGCGGGTCGAAAAACCGCAATTTTTTTCGAAAAAGTCGATTTTGTGTTTTCTTGTGTTTTGTATTCCTCCAAGCATTCTCCTTAATATATTAGAAAATCAAAGCTGAGAATAAGCTAGAAGTTATCGAAAAATACAATTAAAGCACTCGCAGTGCCTTGTGAAAGTACGAAGTTACCTGATTTTCATGCACGCGGCACTTCGCTCTATGGCATCGCCGGCTCTTGAAATTTCGCGGGCATGTAGGCCTAACCCTCTTCTCCCAGACCCCACTTCGGCAAAGCGGCATTCACGCCAAAAATACAACAAACAATCGTTTTCCCATCAGCATTCTAGCGTGGCAACTGGGCCTTCGAAGTCACGTGGTATGATCGGAGCCCTGCCATTGGTTGCGAGCATTCCGCCGCGCAATCGGATGCGAGCGCTTTCTTCGTTCTCCTGCTTTCACCGAGACATCGACGAACACATCCGCCAGAGTTATTATTTCCGTGCCATGGATGCCGGCGAGAAACGCTAATTTCGTTCACGGAAGTTCATTGCGCAGCACCAGTACAAGGGAAGGCGCCCCAAACGCAAAGAGTGAGCGCTGGCGAGAGGTCCGTCTGCTGCTAGGCCTAGCCGCGGTAGCAGCGACGCTCCCGATTTAGATTGTTCGAGCTTTATTCCTACCGTCGATGACTTCGTCAGCGCTTCAGAGTGAAAGATAAAGATGTTCGACGACGAAAGTAAGTGTCGGGACGAACGCGAAAGCACATTTATTTGTGAGACCGATGCAATGCAAAACCTTTTCAGTGGCGTAGTATGCTCCAACTGCGGACGGTGCGAGCTGTCTATTTGAGTAATGGCAAGTAGATGATAAGGACTGGCATCGCTTTCGGAACTATAGCGCCAAAATGACGCATGTGCTGCAACTGTTCTTTCATCCACGTATGCGTCAAGCCGCGTGTATCCATCATGCAGTGGAAGCTTGAGTCGTCCGCCAGCGGCAGTGCACGGGACAGCTTCGCTGTGAGCATGAAGTCGGTGGTCGCACCGCGTGCGATCGGCGTCGGAAACGAGCAGCTTGTGCAGATTTTGTGCAATCATTGGTGTTAAAAAACTGGTGCATCACAAGAACTGCCATTCGCAAAAAAAAAAATGCACACCACCGCCGAAACCTCGAATGAGCCCGTGAGCAACGGCCCATCGCCGCAGTACCGAAAAAAAAAATGCCTCTCGGGAGGACACAGCTTACAGAGACTGTAAGGGTCCAATATATAGTGCTGGATTATTCTGAAACTGTCAACTTTTTTCACGATAGCTTTGCTGACACTCTCTGTGAATTTCATTCAGATTGGTTGAAGAGTGTAGTATTAAACATGTTTTTGAACTTTCAAACCGCTTTTTCTCAGTTCCTCATTTTTCAGCATTTTTAGAGCTTGTGCACTATAATTTGTACGCTTTACGTAGTCGGATTGCAATGAAACTTGGCATACTTAAGTTTAACATGTCCTGAATTCAAATAAACAACTTTCAGAGGTCTCTAAAGCATATTCAGCTGGATAATTTCAGAAGCTTGTTCCTGGAGTATGGTAAAACTCAAATTTAGCATTACAATTTTTTTCTAGGCCAGCACACGAACGTTACACGTTTCTTTGCTTTATTGAATTCTGCAATTCATTAGGAGCAACACTAGCTATTTTTAGAGCTTTCTTGTGCTTACTATTGTTGCCCAAGCTTGCACAAGAATGCATTGTTTTTACAAATGCATTGTTTGCAAAAAATTAACTAAATGAGCCATGAATAAATAAAAGCAGAATTGAAAAGAGGAACTCCAACTCTATAACTGGTGAAAGTTTCATTGAGCTGTCACAAATATCTAAAGAAAAAGTTTTTCGAGGAGCATCTCCCCTTAATTAGAGTAAGCAAATGAAGTAATCATTATCAGCAGGTGTTTTCCATGGGACTTGTGTACTTTTGGAGCTTTGGTCATTCTGTTCAGTTTCTTCTTTGTTCTTGTTTTACTTGAGGTCAGTAGGCCTGTAGTTAGTTAGCATGCGCAGCTTGCAGATGCACTTGATGTGTTTGCGCTTGCCAAGCACTAAAGCTGTGCTTCACTTGTTCCTTCTCTCTAGGGTGGCAGCCACACATAGTCCAATCATCTTCATAGGTACCGGGGAACACATAGACGACTTCGAACCCTTCAAGGTCAAGCCATTCATCAGCAAACTTTTAGGTGGGCTTTGAACCGCGAAAATTTGTTCTCGCTCCCTAGATAGTTGCCTACTGGGCCAGTTGGTGCAACGTACTGTCCAAGTACTGTAGACTCTTTAAACAGAACCTGAAGAGGCCATGAAAATATATTCCGTTTAACAGGTCTGTTTACCGAGAGATAAATAAGGCTGCAAAGTAGCAGTCGTGTTAGAAGCAGTTGTTCCGTCGAACAGATTTTCGTTTACCGAGAGTGTACTGTACATGCAATTTCACGCCAGGCGGAAAGAGAGACTAGAAATGACAGCATGACGTCACATATGGGGCACTGTTCCGTCACGTCTTTTGTCACTCCTACAAGCAAACCGTCAGAAAAAGACATTACGCGACAGCATAGCATGGCTTGTGATGCTGCCCTTTTACGCCTGTCGTGTCTTTTTTTGCTCCTACCGAAAAGAAAGACATGACATTGTAACGTGGTGTGACGTATGTGGAACTGTTTTATCACGCTCAGAACATGGCATACTGCTGATTGTGCGCGATATTCTTCGGTGCTGCAGTGCCAGAAACACATTAGGCTAATGTGTGCAGCGTAGCTCAAGATAAACTGCACGACTGCTGAAGACTGGGAGTAAAACCATAGAAAATGTTGTAACACATGATGATTTTAAACCGGGAAGCTTGTTATGCACAAGAGATATGTATGCATGTTGCAGAAAGAAATTAATATTTGTGAAGAAAAAACAAACTTCGAAGTATGACTTACTACTGTCATGACCTATACTCCTTTTAGTGTGTCAGTGCTTTCGTGATAAATCGACATACGACACGGCTGCCTGTCCGATGACTTTTTGGTGTTTTAGCATTAGCCGCATGGGTAATGGTTTTCGCAAAGCGTGGGTTTGAGCGCAGGGTTATCGAACGGCATGCTGTCAGGGCTTATCGAGTGTTGAGCGCTGCACCAGGAAGGAATACACTTTAGGAAAAAGCCGCTGCACTTGTGGCAAAGCTGAAGCATTAGTTGGCAGAGGTTGCAGAGATTCCTACGTTTCTCGTCTCGGTCGCCCCACAGGTATGGGCGACATCGAGGGCCTCATCGACAAGGTCAACGAGTTGAAGCTTGACGACAACGAGGAGCTCATCGAGAAGCTCAAGCACGGCGAGTTCACGTTGCGCGACATGTACGAGCAGTTCCAGAACATCATGAAGATGGGACCCTTCAGCCAGATCATGGTGAGCTCTTCGCTTGCACTTCTCAAAAGGGATACTGTCACGCTAATTTTCAAGTTTTAGTGGCGAATAAATGGCCAAGCCTTCAAGAGCCTAGAAAATGTACCGGTAAGTCTGGGTGCAGTTTGAAAAAGTAATTTCAGTATGGTTTGGAAAACTGGTTGCGGTTCCTACAGCACCCTGACGTCGCAACACGGAACGAGTTTCTTGTCACATCCTTGCACAAAATATCATGTTACATTTCGATGCCCAGTCCGTGCCGTGACGGCATAGCTGACGTACAAGTGTTCATTTTGTATTTTTGTTGTCGCCATCACAGCTAACGATATGGGTGCGTGAACTCACCAGAATCAGTACAGCAGCCAGACGACGCACTAGTGTCAGAGTCAGTAGGTACACCATGCGCTCTTCAACTTTAATGCCTAACTGAAATATCCTATGAGAACTTACTGAGATTCCCACTTGCCCAGAAGTGTGTCTGTATGAAGGTGATTTGTAATTGATTGATTTATATGTGGGGTTTAACGTCCCAAAACCACCATATTGCTACATGCATGTGTATTGATATTCTAGAGGGCAACGCGCGTGTGTGCCTCACGAGGAAGACGAAGAGTTGTGTCTACTCGATCGCTGGTAAACCGGTTACGCCATTACCGCTGGTTTTGAATATATCTAATCTCCAGCCTCATCGTTACGGCGTCTCTTCTTTTCCGTAACGTATCTGGTGGAGGTGGAACGTTCCCCGTCTTCACCACGAAGTTTCGCAGTGGCCGCACCGTTCAGTCTCCGGCCATGGCTACCAATGACAACAGCCCGTCAGCGTCTCCATCTGTAGCCCCAGCCACTACATACCTGACGACGCCCACACCCCGTGATCCTGGTACATTCTCTGCACAACCTGGGCTTGACGTTACTACTGGCTCCGTATGTACGAGCGTGTTAGCCAGACACACCGATAGGACCCTACCATGATGCTAGCCAACCTAATATTTTACTTGGACGGCACCCCAAGGGTCTGGTTCGACGCCCATGAGACCGAGCTCACCAGCTGGGATACCTTCAAGGAGCGACTACGCGACATTTTTGGGGAGCCATCCGGTCGCCAAATGGAAGCGCGAAAAGAACTCGCCACTCGTGTGCAGTCCTCAACAGAGTCGTATGTCTCGTACATACAGAAGTGCTCGCATTGTGCCGAAAAGTCGACGAGCAAATGACAGAGAGTGACAAGGTGTGCCACATACTAAAGGACATCGCGGACGACGCCTTCAATTTGCTCGTCTACACTAACGTAACGACCCTAGATAGGACTATCAAGAAATGCCGCCGCTTCGAAATGGCCAAAAGCCGCCGTGTTCGGCCTCAATTTACGCGGCTACCAAAAACAGCTGTTACATCCACCTGCACCGATCTCGGTGCCGCACCACCCATGCAGGACAGCGTGACACGAATAGTTCGACGGGAGCTTGAGGCGTCCAGTCCGGCACCATTTCCTCCACATCCGCTTGACCATGGCGCGCACAAACGCCTCCGGCGGTCTCCGTTATTCAAGCCGCCGTGAGGCAGGAAATTGCAAAGCTCGGTTTTCCTGTGGCATGCTCTGTCTCCCGACCCGTCTCCAGACCAATGACAACAAATGCACCACGCCATGACTTGCATTTTATTCCGCGATCCCGCAATCCGGCCGAATGGAGAACTGCAGATGACAAGCCGATCTGCTTCCGCTGCCACCGAGTTGGCTATATCTCCCGCTACTGCCGCAGCACTTGGACGCCCTCAAACTGGAGCCCATTTTCCTCTACTCGACCATACGAGGACTCCCGTCGGTATTTGCCCAGTCGTGTGTACCCTTCTTCCGACGTCCCTAACAGCCGCTTCACTGCTCGTTCGCCGTCATTTCAACGCCACCGTTCCCCATCGCCCTAAGCACGCCGCTATCCATCACCGGTCAACTATAGATCTTCTCGGATGGAAAACTAGATCATGCAGCTCCAGGAGGTAGTGCTGCATCACTTGCGACTGATCCAAATCCTCCGTTGACCCTCCCCACTAATACGAACTTGATTGAGGTGTATGTGGACGGTATTTATTTGACGGCGTTAGTTGATACCGGAGCTCAAGTGTCCATTATGAGTGCTCATCTGTGTCGCCTGCTCAAAAAAGTCCTCACGCCTGCAGCAACTAAAGCCATCCGTGTTGCTGATGGTGGAACTGTGGCCATCACTGGAATGTGTACCGCTCGTGTTAGTATTGCCGGCCACCATGTCCCCGTTTTATTTACGGTGCTTGAAAATTGCCCGCACGACCTAATCTTCGGCATGGACTTTCTATCGACGCATTCTGCCCAGATTGATATAATCACCGCCGGTACTCTCTGCCTAGAACTTTCTCTTCTCCCGGATTCTCACCCTGAACTCCCGAACAACCTGTGCACCACTGACTTCTTCCGGATACTGCCTAAAGCTCTCACATTCGTCGAATTGGCAACACCCTCCCCCGTTCCCGACGGTGATTATATCGCGATGCCGATTACTGATGTTCTTCTGGCGCGTGACATTACTGTCCCACACTTCGTCGTAAGCATGGCCTCTAACCGAACATATTTACCTGTTATCAATTTCGGTTTCATAAAACAAGTGCTACCCCAAGGAATTTCGGTCGCCATGCTAAGGCCCTTAATTGACGACCGCGTCACCTGTTTTACGGCAGACGTATGTCCCGAGCACCCACATCACTCGTAGGATGCCACATGCCTCGATGCAACCTTATGCTCCATGATCGCCCCGGACCTCAAACCTGAGAAGTCAACTGCGCTATGCTGCCTTCTGGCTTCATACCGTGACATATTCTACATCGACAGCCGTCCACTCGGCCAGACTTCACTCGTCAAGCACCGCATTAACACAGGTGATTCTCATCCCATTCATCGGTGACCATACCAGGTGTCTGCCACTGAGCGTAACAAGAAGTCATCAAGATGTTGGCCAAAGGAATTATTGAACCCTCTTCGAGCCCTTGGGCGTCCCCCGTTGTGCTCGTTAAAAAGAAAGATGGCACATGGCGCTTCTGCATAGATTACCGTCATCTGAATAGAATCACGAAAAAGGACATTTACCCTTTACCCCGCATTGATGGCGCTCTCGATTGTCTCCATGGCGCCCGATACTTTTCTACAATAGACCTACGTTCCGGCTACTGGCAGATTGCTGTCGACGAAAAAGACCAAGAGAAGACTGCATTTGTAACTCCAGACGGCCTATATCAGTTTAAGGTTATGCCGTTTGGGCTATGCAACGCCCCAGCCACGTTCAAGCGCATGATGGACTATCTGCTACAAGGGTTCAAATGGTCAACATGTCTTTATTATCTTGACGATGTCGTTGTATATTCTCCAACATTTGAGACCCACCTTCAGCGTTTGTCAGCTATTCTCGACATATTCCGCACTGCAGGCCTCCAATTGAACTCGTCGAAGTGCCGCTTTGGACGCTGGCAAATTACAGTGTTGGGCCACCTTGTCGACGCCTCTGGTGTGCAGCTGGACCCTGAGAAAATTTGTGCAGTCACCAGTTTTTCTGTATCCCAGTCAGCCAAGACGTCCGGGGTTTTATAGGACTTTGCTCCTATTTTAGAAAATTTGTGAAAGATTTCGCAACCATCGCTCGACCCCTCACAGAGCTTCTGAAGAAAGACGACACATTTACGTGGGGTACAGACCAAGCTGCTGCTTTTCCTCTCCTAATCACGCTACTGACGACTCCACCCATATTGGCTCACTTTGACCCATTTGCTTCGATGGAAGTTCGAACCGATGCTAGTGGCTACGGAATCGGAGCCGTGTTAGCCCAACGCCAACGGGGACACGACCGAGTTGTCGCCTACGCTAGCCGCCTCCTCACAGCTGCTGAGCGCATCTATTCTATTGCGGAGCGTGAATGTCTTGCTGTTGTTTGTGCAGTCTCAAAGTTCCGTCCATATTGATACGGCACTAATTTCTCTGTGATAACTGACCATCATGCACTATGTTGGCTTACGTCACTGAAGGATCTTACTGGCCGGCTCGGGCGCTGGGCTCTGCGACTCCAAAAGTATGCCTACACGGTGACGTACAAGTCCGGATGCCTACATCAGGACGCACACTGCCTGTCCCGCGACCTGGTCGCTGAGTCGAGCAGTATGCCTGACACCGACACCGAGCCTTGCGTCTTTTCCCTTTCGCAAATGACATGCATCGGTGATGAGCAGCGCCATGATGCGTCCTTGCATGCTATCATTGAGCCCCTCGAATCACCATCTTTCAGTCAGTCCCATCGCTCATTCATGCTCCACGATGGTGTATTATACCGCCAAAGTTTTGACCCGCATGGACCGGCTCTGCTGCTTGTCATTCCGAAACACCTTCGCTCGGAAGTTCTACATGAACTTCATGACCTTCCGACTGCTGGTCACCTTGGTGTGTCATGCATTTATGACCAAATACGCCGACGCTTCTTTTGGCCAGGGCTTGCACACTCAGTCAGAAGATACGTTGCGGCTTGTGAGAAATGTCAGCGCCGCAAAACACCATCGACACCTCCCACCCGACTCCTTCAACCACTTGATATTCCGTCAGAACCGTTCTTCCGCGTTAGCTTGGACCTACTTGGCCCTTTCCCCTTGTCTTCCTCGGGTAACAAGTGGATAGCCGTGGCCACAGACTACGCCACGCGTTATGCCATCACACGAGCTCTCCCAACAAGCTGCTCCACAGATGTCGCCGACTTCCTCCTCAAGGACGTGATTTTGCAACACGGAGCCCCACGGCAGCTGCTTACAGACCGTGGCCGCACCTTTTTGTCGAAGGTCATAGCCGACATCTTGCAGTCCTGTAAAATGAGATACAAGCTGACTACGACATACCACCCGTCTAAATCGTCTCTTACAGTGTCTAAATCGAACTCTTACAGACATGCTCGCTAAGTATGTTTCTACCAACCACAGGGACAGGGATCTCGCAGTGCCGTACATCACATTTGCCTACAATTCTTCGCGCCATGACACTGCCGGTTACTCTCCATTTTTTCTGCTGTTTGGCCGAGAACTAACATTGCCTCTAGACAACGTCATACCGTCCCCTGGAGTACCGACCAGTGAATATGCAATGGGCACTATCACTCGGGCCGCTTACGCACGCGAAATCACCCGTACTCGCCTTCTGACCTCTCAAGAGAAGCAACGGCGCTTACATGACCGACACCGCGACGTACACTTTCCGCCCGGTTCTTTGGTGCTGCTGTGGTCTCCAACCTGTGAAGTTGGCTTGTCAGAAAAACTGCTTACTCTCTATACAGGCCCATACCGAGTCCTTCGTGTGGTTACTCCTGTAACATATGAAACTGGTCCTGCCACCCCGTCACTTTCATGTGCCCAACAGGCTACCGATATTGTACATGTTACGCGCTTGAAGCCTTACAACTCTCCTAATGACGTTGACATTTAGATGCGCCGAGACGGCGCCTGTGCCGCCGGGGGTTATGCTACACGCATGTATATTAATATTCTAGGGGGCGACGCGCGTGTGTGCCTGACAAGGAAAACGAAGAGTTGTGTCCGCTCGATCGCAGGTAAACCGGTTACGCCATTACCGTTGGTTTTGAATATATCTATTCCCCAGCCTCGTCGTTACGGCGTCTCTTCTTTTCCATAACAATTTAAATATGAGAGACGCCGTAGTGGAGGGCTCCGGAAATTTCGACCACCTGGGGTTCTTTAACGTGCACCCAAATCTGAGCACACAGGCCTACAACATTTCCGCCTCCATCGGAAATCCAGCCGCCGCAGCCGGGATTCGAACTAGCGACCGGCGGGTCAGCAGCCTAGTACTTTAGCCACTAGACCACAGCGGCGAGGCAAGGTGATTTGTAGGGTAGAGTAAACGTGCTTTTTAATGTTGCTGTCTGCATTTATTACAACAGTGTCATGAACTGCTGTCAGTGTTACATAAACACTAAAACGAAATAGAGTCAGTTTAGACTGATAAATCGTACCTTAGTTTTCAGAGCAGACTGAAAACTCTGCTGTTAATTTTACTGTCGTTGGTTTATTAAACAGAAGGAGTCAGAGTTTCATTTGGAAATTGTTTACAGATATCTTTGCACATAAATATCGCGCGACTCCACAAATTTTCAAGTGTTCTTTTTTTTTCACTTTGGCCACAGTACCTCAACTAAACTGCCTCAAACATTGTTTATGTCTCGGGCTCCCTAGCTCAGAAGACAGTGTACTTTAATTTTATTAATCTCGTATCAACTATGTACGCCCTGGTAGATACCGTTCAAACCTATTATAGTCAGTGTGGGAACATGTGGGTTGTCTTCTGCACCTGCATTTTCTTTCTGCACATTTTCTCACCCTTGAGGCGTCTTTTCATAGCAAGGGCAGTGCTTTCGGCATTGTGTACGGGGAATTGCTAATGCAAAAAAGTTACTACTTGTCATTTAGTGTGCACTAGAGATGGTGTTCTTGTTTCACCTGATCAGCGATGGCCTTTTCGAGATTATTTTTATAGATCACGAAACTTTTCAGGTCTTCTTTTCAAGTCTTTAAGTGTTGGTCAGTGGCAAGAAAATGTTAAGCGCGTCTCGAACACCGTCAGTCATACTGACGGAAACAGTTCCGTCGGGCTATCTTGCTTCTTCAAGGCCATCACCGGGGCGTAATTACCACGAATTTTCACACATTCTCCTTGTGGAGTGACGACTGTGTCGCGGGTTCTGTGCAGGGTATGATTCCAGGCTTCAGCAGTGACTTCATGACGAAAGGCAACGAGCAGGAGTCTATGGGAAGGCTAAAAAAGCTCATGACTATCATGGACAGCATGAACGACCAAGGTATGGACAGAGACTTTTCGTTGGCTTACAATCATCCTGGAGGCCCTGTGAATTTCTGCTACGTACAGTACTTTCTCTTATCACTGATTTTTCTTTTTTTTTTCAAGAAGCTTTTATTGGTGTACAGCACAGGCATTACAATTAGCAGCATGATCGGGACAAAGCCTAAGGATATTTGCTCGGGGCATGCAGTTATGCGGGCATCGCAGATAGCGAGCTGGCTGTACCAGTACGCAAAAAGCCATGTTTTCTAAAGCATTCATCGCAACTGTACAAAATGGATTGTTGGAAGTTATCAGAGATGGCTGGTGGGCATGTGGGCAGAGTACGAGGGGGTAGAAATGTGGAAGCACAAACATGCCATGGGTTTTCTTATTTGAAGACCTGCAAGAGGCAGCCAGTAATTTATGAACCCAATCATCTCTCATTCGGGTCGCTTATTTTATCTCAATATTAGCACTATTCTGACGGTACCCTACAAAAAAACATTACCACGGTTGTAAAGAAACCATTCTGTTTTCTGCTAGAAACAGGGCTGGTTATTGCATAGCCTGAATTAACGGAGATCATTAGGAATGAGCTGAACTTTGTGAGTTGGACGACTAAAGTAACACAAAATGGCTGAGCAGGACTTCATGCTGTGTAGGTTAGTTGATGTCCAAGGGGTAACAGTGCCCGACTTTGCTTTATACTCTTACTTGCTGAAGTCTTCGTTCAATGTTTGTGCCAATGTCACTATCCTTTTACAAGACAGATTATCTTGCCTATGCCTGGCGTTTGCATCGTGCTCAAACTTTTGTAAGCTTTGTGGGTACAAGTGTTCTGTTCGTGCAATTCTCCGTCGTGCCCTCAGAGCTGGACCACAGAGAAGGGGCCAAGCTGTTCTCGCGGCAGACGGGACGGGTCACAAGGGTCGCCCGTGGCGCAGGGGTCACCTCTCGTGAGGTGCAGGAGCTCCTGGCGCAGTACACCAAGTTTGCCGCCATGGTCAAGAAGATGGGCGGCATCAAGGGCCTCTTCAAGGGTGAGTGTTGCCTGCTACAGTTTCACCCGAAGGGATGTGGAAGAGCAGACGTGTGCATGTAATACCATATTTACTCTCGAGCTTAGGTAATTCTCGCACCCTCAAAAATTGCAGCAGAAATGTCGGCCGCTCCTTCCAACCATTGATGATGATAGTGCACGCCATCTGGCGCCATCTTTTAAGCATTAAGCGTGCTGTCAATGCACGGAACTCCAATCCAAGCCAAGCCAAAGTGGCAAGTGCGCGTTGTGGCAGCTATTGCACGGTGCATCTGTTGTGTCGTTACGCTATGGGGGCAATTTGGAAGCTATGCGGCTGCTTTCAAGTTAAAAGTGGTTAATCATGCGCTGATTAATCATGGTAAGCACTCCGGGGTCGCCGAGATTAGTGTTCGTTACTAGCGACGGCAGCACAAGCAGCTGAAAGCCATCAAGACGCATTGGGTCGTGTGCCTAAGACTGGGATGAGTTGTAAACTTCATTTCCTCAGATGGCAACTGCGGGCGATTTTGTGTTAAATGGCCATCAGCCTAATTTTGACGCCATACGCTAACTTTTTGAGGACTCCCGTTGAGCGGTGAACGCTAACGCTGTGCCCGTAACCCTCACAAGCTTTGCAAGCAGTGTTCTAATTCTCTACTATTTGGCTGCAGCTTTTGTGTCCCAAATAAATTTTGCCTTGTGTTGAAGCTGTGGTTTTATTGTTGAAGTAAGTCTTAGTTAGTACTTTTCATAGCTTGTAGTTAGTTGCTGACGTGATAATCTAGATTTGCGGCCACTTTATCTTTTTTATCTGTATGTTTTCACGGAAAATTTTCTTCGTATAATTCTTGCACCCCCAACTCCAACTTTTCATCGTTTTTCCGCAAAAAAGAGTGCAAGGGTTATGCGAGTAAATGCAGTATTCTGAGCGACCGCAATGGGTAGAGACACTATCGTGCATACATGTCATGTTGAAACCACTTATTTCATTGAAAACATGTCTGAAATATATTTTGGCAGAGCAAATGGGGCATTGACCTTGACAATGAAGCTGTATATAGCCAGGATGTAGAAAAAATTCATTCGTCAAAACATATCAAATAAGCAGAAATTCACCTTCTAATAATGAACACTGCGAGTGAAAGGGCTTAAATTTCAATTCATCAACCTATTTTCTTTAGGTCCTTATAAAAAGTTACATAATAGTTATTTCAATTCTGCTAACTTTCACTTTAACTAACTTTTTCCTAGGATCCCTTGAAGTTCGTTCAGGTGAAGTTTCTGCTGTATTTCCAATTGTTTGTAGTGCATTCATTGCTTTGCCGTTGCAGCAAAACAGACTTTCTTGTATGTCGTATCAAAATACTATGTACCAGCAAATCTCCCTTGTTGTATGAATACAGTGAACAGCCAATCTTTTGGAAAGGCCCAGTAATTTGGACATCTTCATGGCTGCCCCATAGCACACTCATACTCAGGAATTTTTTTTCGGAAGGGGGGGGGGGGGGGTACTTTTTCGAAACCTTGAAAAACACCTACAGCAAGATTCAAGATGGCAGCAACATTTTCGCTCCAGAAAAAAAAAGCAGTGTGCATAGATTGCAGTGAACTTCATTTAGGCCTAGGATTTTCTGTAGCTTTTAATCGCTTTCAAGACCATCGAAAACTTCTCCTAGTCAGTTGCAAAAAACAGGTCGCAGCATTTCGCTTGAAGTCCGCCGCGTTCTTCAAGCGCGTAAAGCGCGGCAGTGTTGTACTACTTCTCGAAGGCATTTCTGGCGGCTTCTGTCTTATGGATGGGTGCCTGGTCCAACGCTCGTAAGCATTTTTGATGTGATTGTGCTTGTTTGAAAAGTGCGCCATGTCATCAGCCTGAACCAAAGAGGACGGTGAAGACGGCACTTGGTTGCGTCACGTGTGGGCGTGAACATTTTAAGCCTATAAGGCGCTTCCACGGAGATTTAGGAAAGCCACGGGAGAAGAACAGCGAAGCCAGGCAGGCGTGGCCGAGTCGGACCGAGTGAAGAAGGTGGCCAGGGCGCGGGAGTGGCGGCCAGCAGAGCTCCTGCATCAAGGTCGCTGCAGGCTCCCACCTGGACACAGAGCTTTTTCTCGTTACCTGACGTAGGCCAGGCTTGTTCTGGTCATCTGGCGTTGGCCAAAAAACGTCTCCGGCTTCGTGTGCGGGCTACTGCTGCCGAAAGGTCACTGACCTCAACTGGCCCGATGCTTTTCTCCCTCCAAGGCAACAATGTGGGCTTTTCAACCTATTCGCCAGACTTGCCCTGCTGCACGAGTGCGTCTTCACCATTACTCAGTCGCATCAGTTGCAAGCCCCCCATCGCCGCTGTCACCATTTGCATGAGTGCGTTCATGCCTTGGTAGCAGAGCCTCCGGTGCAAGCACCGCGTCCCGTTATGTTGTGATAAGGGTTATTTTCCATTGAACATTTTACATTTATTTCCACGCACTTTTCGCGTCTTTAGCCATTCGTTCTTCCTGTGAACCTCTTTCTAGTTTTGCATGCTGTGTTCTTTTTCTCTTGTTCATCTTTTAGTGGTTTTCGAAATATATTGAGTGTTGGGAATTTGGTGGAAACAAATGGTCTCGTCGACTCATTTCTCGATGACGGTTAAGTCTAATAATGTAAGTTTATTTACAGAAAGGCAGATAGGTTGGCCTGAGCGATAGCTTGCTCTAGCCTGCTACTCTACACTGGGGGAAGGGAAAGGGAAAAAGAAAGATTAATGGATGACGATGGTGAGATAGAGAGGTGAGTACGTAGTGTTTTTTCTAGCTGAGACACATTTCATAGCCGTGCACATAGTCCAGTTGGTTCCAAAAAGGTTATAACTGCTCTTGTGACCGCAGTTGCACTGTCGGTGTCTGGCCATGGTCTCATCAGTTAATGACCTACTGCGATATAGTTCAGTAGAAGAAATCAGTGTTTGTCGTTCACGTGCGTATGCTGGGCAGACACAAAATATGTGCTCAAGTGTTTCTGGCACGTCACAGTGTTCACAATTAGGACCGGTGTCACTGCGACCGATGATATGTGCGTAACGTCTGGTGTACGCTACACCAAGACGAATGCGGTGGATCATACTTGTGAGTTGCCGTTTCAATTTAGGGGGCATGCGGAACCTCATTTCCGGGTTCCATTTGTGAAGTCGCTAGTGTCGCCGTTCCGGTTTGGTCCAGTGCTGAAGTGTGTAGCTGCGCATCACCCAGCGAAGCAGGGCGTTCGTGTCAGCTCGTGAAAACGCAATGCGTACTTCAGGGGCACTCCTTAAGGCATTTTTAGCTTCAGCGTCTGCCTCTTCGTTTCCCATCACGCCGCAATGAGCGGGAATCCACTGGAAAGTTATAAGATGACCATTTGTTGAAGCAACCTGAATGAGTTCTGTGATTTCTATTGCCAAGCTGTAATATGGACCTTGCTCCATGATGCAATTAATGGTTTGCAAAGTGGGTTTGGCATCACAGAAAATCGTCCAGGCTCGAGGTAGCTCTCCGGAAATAAATCTTATTGCCTCCCGTATAGCGACAAGCTCTGTGGCAGTTGATGTGGTTTTATGGTCCACTTTGAATCGTCGAGCGATATCCATGTCTGGGATGACCTTTGTCATCCCAGACATGGATATCGCTCGACGATAGAGATGTTTAGCGGCGGCGGAGATGTTTAGCGTGGTGGATCCGTCGGTGTACACGTGCAGAGAATCACTGTACATTGTATAAATGTGATACAGGGTCAGTTGTCTGAGGCCAACACAAGAAATGTGCGACTTCTTCTTGATTCCAGGTATCGTAAAAGAAACAGGTGGTTTAGGCAGGACCCATGGAGGCACTGCAGGGGCATTTGGCGGAGAAAATCTTTATGGTATAATATTTTCATGCCGCGATATTACTCTTGAGAAACTGCAATCTGGGTGAGTGGCGGGTAGTACTGACAGTGGGTGCTGTCTGTGTCTGCTCAGCAATCGGAGGTGAACTCTAAGTGGCTCGCCATCGGCTTTTTTACTTTACACGAACCTACACGAGAGCTTGCCTCGTGACACCATCCTCGTGACACCATCGCCTCGTGACACCATCGTATGTCGTCGATGTTTGGGCCCCAGACTCTCGACAGCCATTCTTGCATTTTCTTTGATGGCATACAGTCGTTTTTCATGGCGGCAAGAGGAACATCTGGTACGAATAGGAAAAAAGGTCATTGTTGTGATAAAACCAACTGGGCGACTATGTGACCCTTCACGCCCATCAAAAAATATTATTCTCACCTGCTATACGGAAGGCCGCAAAGGCCCTGGCTTGAATTTCTCCACTATGCTCCTTGAAGATAACGAAGGCCGGGAGCTTGTGGCCGGTGGCACAGGCAGCTAAGCAAACTGTCAAGCTTCGTCAAGCACATTTAGTGTTCGCAATTCGTATGATGCTTTCGCCGACCACGTCGTTCGTCCTGTTGGCGGGCTTGTTCATTCGCATCATTGTCTGATGCATGTTGGCCATGTTATATAAGGTGTAACCATTGCACCGTCGCGGTGAATTCGTGGAAGACGAAAAGGCACTTGCTGCCTGCGAAAGTTCCTCGGGCGCCTTCTGGCTCTCGTTTGTACTTTGGCACATTGGAACGCTGAACCGCTGTTTCCAGTGATTCTTTAATGGCTGGAGGCTACGAAGTTTCCCAATTGCATGCTGTTCGCAATTTTGATGGCCTCTTCGGAAAGAATCTGGCTGCCGACGGCACGACCTGCACTTGTGGTACGCGAAGAGAGAATCGTCCACATGTTCGACGAGCACTGGTGCGCCGTTACTGAGCTTCAGTCGAGGTTTTGCCGTCTCGTAGTTTAACTGCAGCAAATTATTGGAATTTTTCTCTCATTTCTTTATCTGCTTCTAGTCGAGCTTGAAATGTCGAGACGTCTGGTGCTCGTTGTTTTATTTTTTTCAATGCCATCGAATAACCTCTTTTTTTTTTTGCCACTGTGTAGGACTGCTTATGCATAGCTGACCTCTCACCGCAAAGACAAAGCAACAAGTGGCACGCAGCAATTGGGCTGTCGTGCGAAGCAGGATTGCATTGGATTGGGGGGAGGGGGCACTTTCCCAGAACATCGCAAATATTTGAAATTGCCAGTAAAGGTGGGGGGGGGGGGGGGCACTTGTACGAGTGGGGGCCCTTGCTCTGAATTTTAGAGCATTTAGAACTTAGACCCCCCCCCCCCCCTATCTAAATTGGGGGGGGGGGGGGGCCCTTCCTGGCTGCCAGCCTCCCTCATAGTCATTGTGTAAGGTTGTCAAGAAATTTTGTACACCCAGACTTGGGTGTTCTATCTTCAGGCTTTGCGCACTCATGAAAGGTCCGGAACGGCATTGACTTCGGAACATGTTTTGAGCACAGAATCTTGCTTGCCCTAATTTCAGGTGGCGACATGGCGAAGAACGTGAATCAGGCACAAATGAACAAGCTCAACCAGCAGATGGCCAAGATGATGGATCCTCGTGTCTTGCACCAAATGGGTCAGTTTTGTTAACTTGCTTCTTGACGCCTGCACCATTTATTTTGCATTATAGGGTTTCAACTGTAATACCACCTACAATTATGTCCATGTTGCCATAGTTGCTCAATTGTATGGAATTTTTCGGACAGTAAAGAGACTGCTCACTTATGATAGCAATTGCATTTTATCGAAATGATAGAAGGTAGCCATGAAATCAAATTTAACCCAGTGCGCTCTGCTGTAAGTGTATGTCAAATAGCACCCCAACATTCCTAAATGTTCAATTGGTCATAATTTTTGTTTAATAACTTTTGACACAAGCTGCATTGAATTATAAAAACAAGACACGAGAAACAGTTACGCTGCATTTGATGTTTTTCTTTCATTATGTTTTACTTTTCTAGACTTCACTTTACAAGCCAGAGGCTGTGCATTTAGCAGTTGTGTGTGAAAATGAAGCCTACAACTGTACAGAAAGCGTTACAATGGCACCTGCACCTAAATCATGCAATAGCGATGTACTGGAGTCCACTGTTCACGCATGTTTTGATGGGGGACTGCACTCAGCGAAGCTGCATCAAATAAGTGCATCTCAACACATTTGTTGTAATGCAATATGTTTTAAGCTTGTTAATTTCAAACCATTGCCTTGCGTTGCATTCAGGAGCGATGAGTTTCACGGTCTTGTGGTTGTCATGACCATACAGGGAACTGTGTTGCTGCCAGCATTCAGCCATCACGAAAGTTAAGTGTAGTGCATGGACTTGGCTAGTCTTTGTGGCTTCGAACGTGCTTGCTTATTCTTGTTTGTTTCTTGTCTTGGGTAAGAAACAGTGGCTCATTGTGAATTTTGTGATCTCATTTTAGTTGGTCAGCCGGATAGGGCCAAGGTGAACCTTGGCTAAAATTCATATTGTAACCTGTAGCCCACATGGAGCCAAAAGATGGAAGCTCTAGGCTAGTCTGCAAGCAACCCATCATTCCCATGGTGGCTAAAGTGCTGCGAGATGCATGCTTCCTTGGACAGTAGCGACAAGTTTTACTCCAGTGCATTATTATGGAACTGCGCTTCTGAGAACACCCGTCACGCCAACCCTGCCGCTTTCTCTTTGTGCAGGTGGTTTCTCGGGCCTGCAGAACATGATGCGGCAACTACAGGGTGCCGCCAGCGGAAACGTCAACAACCTCATGAACATGGGAAAGTGAACTGCCTTGCCTCGTACTGGTGTACGACAGCGACCCTTTTATATAAAGCGACGTAGCGTGTGCGCCAGATCAACATCGCGAAGGAACAGAGGACAGCGCAGCCGTGCCCGCGTCATTCATTGGTCGCTTGCAAAGAATTTCTGCCGTCGCCCACTCACCCCTCTGCTTCCCTCTGCTTTCTTCTCTCTCTCTCCAAATCGTGTCACCTCGCAAAAAAAGTGTATTGCTACAGGTGCATATATCTGAACTCTGCAAAAAAAACTTTACACGCATAGTCAAGCCTGTTCACAGTTCTTCATGAACATTATTTCTGCAGTGTCACACTGTTTCGGCACGTTTCGGCACCTCTTAGTTGGCTGCCGCGACTGTGAAATGCGTTTGCACTCCCGTGCTTTCCTTTCGGCCACATGGTGTCAGGGTCGCCGGGGCAGACGTTTCAATCAGTGCACAGGTGCACACATTTACTTTCTCTTTCTCGTCTGGTGTCGGTGCTCTTTGCAACTCACAAGGGACGCACGAACAGGTCTTTCAGTTTCGCTGAATGCATGTGCAATTAAGCCTTATGACGCTGTACAACAAAGTGGCGGTTGCGTCCGCAACCGTTGCAGTGACAGCGACACTGCAGACTCGGTCTCACTACTAGCACACTGTGAAGCTGATGTGTTGGTTCTCATATGGGCCGGCCACGTTGTACGTCGCAAGCTTAGGGTACCTCTTTCCTAAGCGTGGACGACTGAGTGATCTTGTGAAGAGATGTTGATGACATCATTGTTATGTTTTTTCGTACAGTTTTTTTTTCAGAAGTAGTTAGTGTCATCATTTTGCTCATTGCAAGCTGTTTTTGTTGCCCAATTTACGTTAAGTGCTCACAACACCCGTCCTGAAACACAATACTGTTATGCATTATGTTTGTGGGCTAGTGTGACATTTTTTTTTTGTCCACATAAATGATTTGATTTTCAATAATCTTTTACCTCGTGTAGTTGTCACTGTATGGCTGGGGAATCGGGAAAGATTTTTTGTACAGGAATCGTGTTTGTGGACACGTGCTTGTAGAATGTACGGCAAATAGCAATCTTTTTCTTGCTTTTTTCTTTTTTCCCTAAATGTACAGAATACATTTCGACGTGACGACAATGCATTTCTTGATTAAAAAAACATAAAGGCCTCTGACTGAAGTTTCTCTCGTGATGGATGTTTTGTGTAGGTGTTGTGGGTGTATTGTAAAATTCTGCACTGATGAGAATCTACAATGTTTCAGAAGTCAGTTGCCCCTTTCCTTTTTTCCTTGAGGGGAGACACTGCTTTTAAAAAAAAATTTTATTCTTTATTTACACTATCACCCTCTTGTAGTGTATATATATTTGCTGGCTTATTTCCAATATACAATTGTTTTTACAATTTAGTGGTTAGTCCCTAAAATGCAAAATATTTCATGTGACTTTTGGGGAGCAATTTTTTTTTCATCTGAAAGAGTTACAAAGTAAATCAGCATATCAAAATAATCTGGAATCGTAACTGCTAACATTACGACGAAAATGGATGTTACAGAACCACTTGAGCAAAAGTTATGCTATGTTGAACAGGTTTGAGTGAGTCGATTTCAAACACATATTTCACGCAAGAGTGTTCAATATACCATAACTTTGCTTCTAATGGGTTTATAACATTCATTTTTGTTGCACTTCACACCGTTCTGATTCCAGGTTATTGCCACATGTTGATTTACTTTGTATCTCTCTTTGTTAAAAAAATTTGCTTCCCAAGAGGCACATGAAATATTTTGTATTTTGAAAATTACACATTACTCTAGAACAATAATCGGATACATAAAACTAGTGCACAAATTCACATAATTTGAGCAAGTTCAATCATTATTGATCAAGAAATTTTAAAAAACTTTAGTCTCATGTCCCTCCTTAATACACTGAAGTTGTTGGGAATCGTCAGTCATTGAATGTCACTGGAACGGCTCGCACGGCTACCTTAACCAGGTGTGACATCTTGGGACAGCAACTTCGTTTCTTAGCAGTGTTTTTATATTATTACAGCGAAGCTGTATATGGCTAATTTCTTGAAAACCTCGTCTGTAGATGAAAGATGCGCGGAACAACACTATTGCAGCGCACCTAACCCCCTTCTCACAGGTGCCACTGCTGATGCCATTCATTCGCAAGTATCGCGATGCTCGGCGGCTGTACCTCCCACCAAACGTTGCGTCCTTTTGTCTTGTCAGTTGAAGATCGCTGGTGCTTTCATCAGCTGTTTTTCTTTGGACTGGCTGTGGGACAGACGCGTGTGTCGTTCACTCCGGGAGCAGCTGCAAGTAAAGTAGTGTCAACGTGCACAGTAACACGAATGGTCGCGAAAGCTCGTGTGGAGCCGCAGTCGCCGCCTTCGTTGTCTCTTATCTTCGCAGCAGCAGTAGGGGGGGCGGGGGAAGGGAGGGCTGTGAATTTTACGTATGCCTTGCTCATTTTTCCCCACTCCCAATGGCAAAGACGGTAACGGTTGTCTGCAAGAAACAAGAATTAGGTGTGACATGGTGTGAGCTTCAGAAAAGGTTTGCAGTTGAGAATATATAACGAGCATGAAGAAAATGCCAGTGTTTGGTTCTTTCAGAAAGTAGACAGAATCCATGATTGACAAGAATTTTTCTGATATGGGTACATGCCCACTAACACATAAGTAAAAGGAAACCCAGTTGTTTCGTGTACGAATACAAGGGATGAGTGAAACTCCCTAGAAATGGGATTCAGACTATGTGCCTGATGTCTGCTTGTTTACTGACGCACGTGAGAAAAGAACGGAAGACTTATCCCATCGGGAAAATGGAGGCCAACGTTGGTACTTTTCTTTATCGCATGGCGCTACGTCCTCTCCAACGTTTTTTTCTTTTCCTTATTCCGGGAATAAAACCATGTGCGTAGCAGCGCAACAGTTCTGCTGCTACAGACAACAATGGAGGGTGGCAATGTGAAATGGCAAGTCGCCTCGATCAAAGATCGCACTGCACGGCAAAGCCTGTGATTATTGATTATTGGGAAAACTGTGCATACCTATATGCAAATGACTGGGGCACCTTCAGGGTCCATATTGCTGCAGGCTCACCTGCGCCGAGTTTGCTGCGTACGACTGCCACCAGAACGGTGCGTCATCACTTTGCTTAAAACTTTTACTCCGGCTGAACTAATTCGATATGTCTATTTTAAAAGACGGCTGTAATTATTTATAACTATCATTACTTGTTACTTCGTTAAGCGATTATTACCCTCTATAAGAAAATTGTTTCCAATCTACGTCCTAAGCACGTCCTACTGAGGATGTTAGTTAGATTTATGTTGTGCATCATTGGCCCTTGTTTTACAAACTGCTACGGCAATGCTGGGGACTTCTCTAGCTCATCCCACGATGGACAAGAAAGTTGGGATCTTTCGGGGACATCTATGGGGTGTTTTTTTTACCTAGGTAGTAGCGTGGGGTGTTGCTCTAAAAGGGACACCCAAAAGAGTTTTTAAAAATCAAACACTTGCACTCAACGTCAAAGCTATAGAAAGTGCTTTTAGTCGCGACTCCCTGTCTGTCCTTCAGAGATGAACTCGAGGGGCGCTTGTTAAGAGCTGGTTGATAGCGTTTCATATACGACTATGCTATGCATTACCCTCTCGACACCTTTCCATCGTCATCCGCACTGCCTTTTCTATCCAATACTGTAAGTTGGAGGGGGGGGGCAGCGATAAACTTTTAAGTCCTTTTGAAGGGAACAATGAGCACTGCTACTATATCGGCACAGCAGCACTCGACAGTCGTCTTGACAGCGCTGTCCCAAGCTACTTGGGACAACAGCATACGATACCCCGGGTCCCTAAACTGCTCCGCACTTAAAATCGGCAAGATGGCAAGTTGGGCCAGTTGCATTACGTTCATAATTGAAAATTTTGTTGAAGCGCACTAAAGAACCGACGGACAGAAGAGGCAGACAAGGACACAGCACTTGCTTGTCAGCCTGTTCTGTCCGTCCATTTTTTAGTGCACTTCAACAAAATTTTCACTTGAAATCATATCTCTCGTAATTGCATATTACAATATCAGAAGCAGCACTCGTACCGCGAGAGGAAAATAAGGTGTCGACACTATAGAGTCTTTTTCAATATAATTTTAGGAAACTTTATGGTCGACACCACCTGCAAGTTCCCGCCACAGCACACACACCCATGCCGTCATAGACTGTGACGACGGCCCATATAGTCGTTTGTCGCTGAAAAAGGTATGCGTTGTGTTCTAAATGACACAAAGTTTTTGCACGTTTCAGAAAACTTGATTGCGCTAATGTGGCCAAAGTTTCCAAAAATACGTTGGTGATGCATGCTGAAGTTTCGGCAAGCTTAGGTGGGAAACTCGAGCATACCTATGGCTTCCATTTTCCTCTGACAATAATTAAGCAGAGATAGAGAAGTTAATTACAGTATAGGTCTAGCAAGAGAATCTGTTACTCGTTCAATGCGTCACTTCAGTGTCCTTTTTAGAATGAAGGGTGCTGCCCCGCCGTGGTGGTCTAGTGGCTAAGGTACTCGGCTGCTGACCCGCAGGTCGCGGGTTCAAATCCCGGCTGCGGCGGCTGCATTTCCGATGGAGGCGGAAATGTTGTAGGCCCGTGTGCTCAGATTTGGGTGCACGTTAAAGAACCCCAGGTGGTCGAAATTTCCGGAGCCCTCCACTACGGCGTCTCTCATAATCATATGGTGGTTTTGGGACGTTAAACCCCACAAATCAAATCAAGAATGAAGGGTGCAGTTGAGGTGTATTTGCGCCACAGCAGTAATAGTCATTGCCCTTGCTCACTAACTGCGTTCACTGCAATTTCTTCCTAGGTTATTATGCCACGTGCCTTTCTGAACAGGGAATTGATGTGGGTGCGGAGATAACTCATAGTAGAAGCACAGAGCGAAAAAAAAAATCTCCATCTGCAGTGGCGACAGGGCGGGCCACTGGTCATATAGAATATTGCGGCCTGTATGGCAAGGCGAAAAAAGTTTCGGGGGGGGGGGGGGAGGGGGGGGAGATAACGCGCAGTAAAGGCAAGCGAAGGAAGACGTAGGACGGGTGCTGTTTGTGTTATTCCGCTTGCGCTACGTCACGTTTAGCGTTTTTTTTTTTTTTTCTCCCCCGTTTGTGAATTTATGATGTGTTCTGTTTCAAACATGTTTTCTCTTGGAGTGGCAAGGGCAGTGACACCTAAGCGCCGTCACTGCAATGCAGAACTATTTAATCTGTGTGTTCAATGGCCGCGACAGAACAAACGATAGGGCGTCGCAATAATTGCGCAACATTGCGGGGCCGTACGCAACAAAGAACTGTAATCACGCTTCATTTCTGCCGCTTTCCGTGACTAATAACACATGTCCTTATCGATCGAAGACACAATGCAGGACGGCGATAAATGCACGGTAATCACACGGGTCAGCGACGCGCAGGTGTGACGGGCGAGTCGACCGCACGAGTGCTGGTTTTGCATATACGTGAACAGTTTGCGACGATTTTTTTTTTTTTCCGGTGTTATTTGCAGCCGTTGACTTTCCGCACAGAAAAGCAACCGTCATGGGCAAGGTGAGTTCAGTGGAGCGTTCTTCGATAATCGCTGAAGCTGTCGTATATCGACCGAGAACTACGATATATTGCATTTTATAGGTTCTGAAACTGCGCGGAAAAACGAGGACACAAGTACGAAACGTACTTGTGGTGTACTCTACTACGGGGGCGTAGGCATGCAGTGAGTGTAACAACTTCATTTGGTCCACAATAGGCGCGAGTTAACTCGGCGCCTGCTGGCTATAGGCCCACTCGGGAATGAACAGGTTAGGTCAGGTTAGAGTTACTGTATATGCTACCTTTAGAAGGTAGCATATACAATAACTCTAGGTCAGGTTAAACCGTACCGCCCTCGTGCGGGCCCTCTGGACGGCCAGGATCTGTGAGGTCAAATCCCGGGCCTTGACGAGCCTGTTAAATTCCTATTGGTGGGGCGCACGCAGAATTTTTTTTTTCGGGAAAAAGTGGGGAAGGGGGGGGGGGCTGCATTATTACTCACAATAATGCACTTCCCACAAAAGTGGGAAGTGGGGAAGGGGGGGGGGGCTGCATTATTACTCACAATAATGCAGCCTGTCCTCCTGTGCAGCTATCTCGGCTCCTGTTCATGGCGCGTTCGCATTGGTAAGTACATATATATATACGTTGAAGTTCCCGTGATTTTATTTTATGCAGTGACCTCGAAGTATTTCTGGTAGGCGGTTGGGCAAAGTCGCGAAACTCTGCGTTCTCGCGTTCAGCGCAGCACGTCTGAAATACGGCTCGTAACAGCTCCCGAGACGTCCTCGTCGGCGAGAAATAGACGTCTCGTTGTTTTGTTTGTGTTGAATATATAGCGCACATTTCATCAATATACATTATATGTATTATAGGGGTCTGAAAGCGTTTGAGCTAGCGCCAAGAGCGGCGCCAGGATTTCTTTACGGGAGGGGGAGGGGGGAGGGCACACATGATATGGAGTTCCTTCAGGCGGGCGGAAAGGCTGGAAACATGTATGCATTGTGTCCTGGCTGTGCTTGCTCCTAGGGGGCAGGGGTATAGCAGGGGGAAGCTGGGGGGGGGGGGGGCGCTCCAGAGACACACCCCATACCCCCCGCTGGCGCGTCCCCTGGCTAGCGGGGTTCTACAGACACGGAATTTAGTTTCCAGTCGGTATGGTGAAGGTTGACGCTGAAGCGAGGAACGGATGCTTAAAGGGGCCCTGCAACACTATTCCAAGTCGTCGTCTAATTGCTTCACTAACAGAGATTATTGCCTTACGAATCGCCTGCCGCAAAACAGTTTTAAAACCCCTCAAGTACGATTTCCCGCATTCTTTAAAGCGGCCCTGCAACACTTTTTGAGCGTGGTCAGAAAACGTTCCCGATCGGTAGTAGAGGCTCCCGGAAAAATGCGAGCCAAATGTTATAGCGCAGCACGTGGCCTGGAATTCACAATAAATCATCATAATCAGCTGAAAATGGCTTTCTCTTCCCTCGACAAATGACGGAAGATGCTCAAAAGTCACACGTAGATTACGCATGTATCAGTCATTGGCTTATTTGAACTGGTGCGCTTGGTTGTTACAGAGATCGCTACGAGAGGCCGCCACTTGTCCACGCGTGTCATCGCACTGAAAAAGCCACGTATCCGCAAAAAAAAAAAACGAAAGAAGTGCTCAAGGTCACGAGGCGCTAGTGACGTATTTTGTTTGCCCCTCCCATCCCTCATTGCTTAGCTTCCAGCGCTTTCGTCGAGACGAGAGAAGAGAGATTGCGATTACAGCGTGTGACAAATTTTTGTAACTGTTCGAACTGGACGAATTCTTAACATTTTTGCGGCGTTGAATTTATGAGGCAATACGCTTTTTCCAGTAAATTAATTCCATGGTTATTAAAAAAAGTGTTCCAGGGCCCCTTTAAGCGCCTTTTCCCGCGTATTTGGATAGTTTCGCAATCCCGAAAACGCCACTCTTACCAAGACTCGACGCTTGGTAAGCGAGAAAACGCGCGAAACGAAAATTCGGGTAGAGTGATAATCGTGATAATCGCTCACCAAACAACGTGACGTCATAGATTTACTACTGTGTCGTACGTATAGTTTCCGATCGGTAAAAATGAAGAACATTGTCGTCTGTTGGTGCCATAGACCTAGCATACCACGTTTCAGAAAATTTCATCGAGCCCATGTCGGGAAAATAAGAAAAGTACATTTTCGAATTAGTCAAGTCACGCGTGGGAACTTCAGCGCGAAATTTAAAAATGAAACTTCCACCTTGATTTTCTCCACTAATAAGTAACGTATTATATTGAAACGTCTGAAATTAGAGTTCTCAGAGTACAGTTTGGCAATCTAAACTAACTCATTGCGTCACATTAATGGCCTGTGAGGAGGTTTATTAGCCGTTAAAGACAGCGATGAGACAGCGTGAAGAACCGTCCAGCGATCGGCACAGCAACGAACCGAAGCACGAGCCGAGAGAGCTGGGCGTTGGCGATGCTGCTTGCTGCAGGCACATCTTCTTCTTCACAATCGCCCCCGCTGAAAAAGGAGCCATCCTGGTGACCTAAGAAGTTTCAGGGAGAGGCTCATGATACGGTTTTAGGCGGGAAACATGGACGATGTCACGTGCACTCCGGCGCATGTCGTCCGATCGGGAAACTGGTTCAATTAGAAAATTAACCGGAGATGTTTTCTCCAAAACGGTGTAAGGCCCCTCGTACCGGGGGACAAGTTTCGAGGAGAGTCCCGGTGTTTGGTATGGGATGGCAAGCCACACAAGAGACCCTGGGGCATAGCTGGGATCCGGAAGAGAGGTGCTACGGGTTTCTTTCTGGCGTTGTTGCTCTTCCGAGGTGAACGCACGGGCGAGCTGGCGGCACTCTTCGGCTTGTCTAGCAGCATCGGAGATAGGTGGACACTCGGAAGCATCAGGACGGTAAGGAAGTAGGGTATCAATTGTATGGGAAGGCTCGCGTCCGTAAAGAAGAAAGAAAGGTGAGAATCCCGTGGTGGTTTGTATTGCAGTGTTATACGCGAACGTGACGTATGGGAGAACACGGTCCCAGTTGCTATGATCAGATGCCACGTACATTGAGAGCATATCACCTAGCGTGCGGTTGAACCGTTCCGTTAGTCCGTTAGTCTGCGGGTGGTATGCTGTTGTTTTCCGATGAATGACGTGGCATTCCGAAAGCAGAGTTTCGACGACCTCGGAAAGAAAAGCGCGGCCTCTGTCACTAAGAAGCTCTCGAGGTGCACCATGTCGAAGGATAAAGCGTTGCAAAATGAAAGAGGCGACATCCTGAGCTGTAGCGCTCGGCAAAGCGGCTGTTTCGGCGTAGCGTGTCAGGTGGTCAACCGCCACTATAATCCACCGATTACCATCTGGTGTCAATGGAAGGGGACCGTAGAGGTCAACGCCGACGCGATCAAATGGCTTGGCAGGGCATGGAAGTGGCTGCAATGCGCCAGTCGCACGTGGCAGTGTTGATTTACGTCGCTGGCAGTCAGGACAGCACTGCACGAATTTACGTACAAAATTGTACATGCCGCGCCAGTAGTAGCGATGGCGAAGGCGTTCATATGTTTTGAACACTCCGGCGTGGCCACATTGCGGATCGTCGTGAAGGGAGGCACATACTTGCGATCGTAAAGTGCGTGGAATGACCAGCAACCACCGGCGGCCATCGGGAGCGTAGTTGCGTCGATGAAGAAGTTGATCGCGGATGGTGAAATGGAAAGCTTGACGTCGGAGGGATCGAGATACTGGAAGGCTGGGTGTGCCAGATAAATATTCGATAAGAGAGGCGATCCACGGGTCACGACGTTGTTCCGTGGCAATCGAATCGAGATTTAGTGATGACAAGGTCTGGATGCAAGTGTTTCCGCACGTCTGATCTGGTGGTAAAGGTGAGCGGGACAGAGCATCAGCATCAGAGTGTTTGCGTCCGCAGCGGTATACGACGCGAATGTCGTACTCCTGGATGCGGAGTGCCCATCGCGCAAGGCGGCCAGAAGGGTCTTTCAACGTGGAAAGCCAGCAAAGCGCGTGGTGATCAGTTACTAGATCGAACGGGCGGCCGTATAAGTACGGCCGGAACTTTCCAAGCGCCCACACCAGAGCCAAACACTCTTTTTCTGTCACGCTGTAATTAGTTTCGGCTTTCGTCAGAGTGCGGCTAGCGTAGGCTACAACGTATTCTGAATATCCGGGCTTTCGTTGAGCGAGGACCGCGCCTAGCCCGACGCCGCTGGCGTCGGTGTGCACTTCGGTAGGAGCCGTCGGGTCGAAGTGGCGAAGAATAGGTGGGGAAGTGAGCAGACGGCGCAGAGTAGTGAAGGCAACGTCACATGCAGGGGACCAGGAGGTGAGGTTCACGTCACCGCGAAGAAGCTGGGTTAACGGTGACATGATAGATGCAAAATTGCGAACAAAGCGCCGGAAATAGGAGCATAGGCCTACAAAACTGCGAAGTTCTTTCATGGTCGTCGGCTTGGGAAATTCTGCGACTGCTCGAAGTTTTGCTGGGTCTGGTAATACGCCGTGCTTGGACACGATGTGGCCTAGGATGACGAGCTCGCGTGCAGCGAAGCGGCATTTTTTCAGATTAAGCTGCAGACCAGCGTTGGTCAGACAACTCAAAACGTGCCTGAGGCGAAGGAGGTGCGTAGGAAAGCCATGGGAGAAAACCACGACATCGTCGAGGTAACAGAGGCACATATTCCATTTGAGGCCACGTAGCGTATTATCCATAAGACGTTCAAACGTGGCAGGCGCGTTACAAAGCCCAAAGGGCATGACGTTAAATTCATATAGTCCGTCTGGTGTAATAAGTGCCGTTTTTTGGCGATCGGTTTCTGCCATTGGGACCTGCCAGTAGCCAGACCGCAAATCTAGCGACGAGAAAAATTCCGCTCCGTGAAGGGTGTCAATGGCGTCATCAATGCGCGGCAAAGGATAGACGTCCTTGCGGGTTATGTTATTCAAACGACGATAGTCCACGCAAAATCGGATAGATCCGTCTTTTTTACGCACCAGGACGACGGGAGACGCCCAGGGACTGTGAGATGGTCGAATGACGTCTCTACGAAGCATATCTTCGACTTGATCGTTGATGACGCGGCGCTCTTCAGCGGAGGCACGGTATGGTCTTTGACGCAGTGGCTGGTGTAGGCCGGTGTCAACATGATGTTTGACTTGTGATGTGCGGCCCAGTTGAGGTTGCGACACATCGAACGAACTCCTGAACTCATGCAGAAGATCCAGCAGGTCGGCATGTTCGGTGGGAGCGAGAGTGTCGGCGATGGCGCTGGAAAACGTATCATTGGACGACTCCCCGAGTGCCGACAGTGCTTTTTGGTGGTCGCAGTAGTCGTCCGGGACATCAAACAAAAACGAAGGGTCGAGATCCTGCACGCGGCCGAGACATTCCCCCGCAAGCAATGTGACAGGTGTGGAAAGCGGATTGCTTACGATTCACAGGGGCGGCGCCAGGATGTTTTTACTGGGGGGGCAACCACGAAAAGTGAGTTCCTCCGGGGGGGCAAGCTAGCTCTGCTCCTACTAGGTTTTCAATATATGCTTCCGGGCACTTGGGTGGGCATAGGGGGGGCAGGCGAGAATTTTGGGGGGGCTCCAGCCC